ACCACCTACTGTAGTTTTATTTTTACTTAGTTATCTGTGTGATGGAACATTTTGCATTTTGGCAGTTTGAATGTCTTGTACTTACTTTTTTTGTATGTTGAAAACAAACAAATAAAAAAAATTTGTCTGTTCTCTGAAGTAGCCTAAAGGTTTGTAGAGGTGAGTGTGTTGTCAAATGAACTGGCATCTGCATGGTATCAGTGATAAATGGATATCTGCTTACCTGTGTTTGAGAGATGTTGCAAATGTACATCAAACTACGAAGAACGTTCTGAAGCTTTGCCTCTTAAAACAGATGGGGCTTCTGCCACAGCAGATGGGTTTTAAAGGCCGCTGTGTATGTGTGTACACACCTCTAGATGCCAAACACTTATACTTGCAGCAGTTTTTTTTGGTTTTCTCAATAGTCTCTTTAAAAGAAAAAAAGTGCTAGATGGGCACATAAGAGCACCCAGAGGTTTAATTTTCATGTTAAAGGGTATCTAGACCCAAAACAGCAACTGGCTTACCAGTCCTTAAATGTGGTGTTATCTTTTTTTTTTTTTTTTTTCTCTTATTTTTACCTGGTGATATTTCTGGTCATAGACCTCCTTTTCTAGAGTCACATCGCTCGCTGTATTCTATGCAGAAGCAGCATTGTTGGTGAGCTATCAGGGCCGATAAAAGGTGGGGGGCAGAGGGGGCATGTGTCCCAGGTGTACTGTTACTGTGTAGCGAGAGGCAGCTCCATTCTCTTGTGCCTGACTGAAAGGAGTGACCGCAGTTTCACTCCTGTCATAGGAAGTCAAAGGAAATTTCTGCAAAGTGAGTTTTCCGTGGTGCTTTTATTCAAAAATATTGAATGCAGCATGGCACCCCTGACAACCAGAGAGAGCTAAGTGGTTGAGAAATGCTGGCCTAACTGACATTATCAGATCAAATCTTTTTCCTTTGCTTTGCTGATAAGTAAAACAGAGTACATAGAAAAGTAACTGTTGCTTTGTTTGTTTCCGTCTCATGTCTGAACAGTGTTTATAGGGAATGGCTGTGGAGTGCGGGACGGGCAGAAGGACAGAATGTGCTATACATACCCTGTGTAATTTACTTAAGTTTTGGGTTTGTAGTATGTCCAGTTTGAATAACTGACTGGTTAAAAACATAATGTACTGCAGGGCCTTTGAACAATTAGAAGAAATAACAAATGTCAATCTGTGCACTTGTCACAAGCGCACCCAAAAAAAAAAAAAAAAAAAAAAAAAAGAAAAATCTCCAACTATTACTAACAAAATGACGTGACAACTAAGGTGGAATCAACAAATGTGATGTGTATAACAAATCATAAAGTTCACATATAAAGTGTTAGAAGAAATCCTGCTGTAGGAAAATACACGTAACGGGTGGAGTCTGCGATTTTAATGACACCATCATGGTGACGGGTGCTCGGGATTGATAACAGTAGTGGTGAGCAGTGTAAATGGTGCCATCCCTTTTGGTTCACGTATATTGGATTGGTTTAACATTTTGGTTTTACTATTCTGCATGTAAGTGTTCTTAATCCTTACTATTGCTGAATAATGTATTCGGAGAGCATTATGAGAGTTATTTTCTCTTTCATATGGATGCATACGTGGTGATGAGTATCATGCAGAAAAATATTTTTATGTGAAAAAGACTATGTGCATAAATGCATACAAATATTACAAAAAACAACATCGCCACCATCAGTCGCACCCCACACCCAAAGTCCACACTGGACAAAGTCCAACCTCATGTCCAATCACTATCAAACTCATGCAGGCTCCACCTCCGCAACATCTCCAAGATACATACGTTCCTCACCCCAGACACTACTGAACAACTCGTACACTCCCTAACAAACGCTATCCCCACTCCAGTCTATCCTGAACTCAGCGGCTAGACTCATCCACCTCACCAACCGCTCCACATCTGCCCTCCCCCCTCTGCCAATCCCTTCACTGGCTCCCGATTGCCCAACGCATTAAATTCAAACTACTAACCCTGACCTACAAAGCCATTCACAACGCTGCCCCCAAACTACCTAACTGACCTGATACCCAAATACCACCCTACCCGTGCCCTTCGCTCCTCACAGGACCTCCTACTCTCCAGCTCCCTGGTCTCCTCCTCCCACGCCCGACAGCAGGACTTCTCCAGGTCCTCCCCCATCCTCTGGAACTCCCTACTCCAATCCATCAGACTATCACCTACCCTCCTCACCTACAGGCGCACCCTGAAAACCCACCCTCACCTAACAACCGATCTCCTCCACTACTCCTACCACTCCATCCCCCACAGCCACTTCCTCCTGTACCACTATCCCCTCCCTCCTAGATTGTAAGCTCCAAAGAGCAGGGCCCTCGAACCCTTCGTGTATTGTATTGTTACTGTATTGTCTCATGTTATGTCCCCCTTGCTACTGTACAGCGCTGAGCAAACCCTTTGGCGCTATATAAATACCGTATAATAATAATATCCAAATTAAACACTGCTGCCACCTTAAAATGAAATAAATCTTATAAACAATAAATGAACCCTAGGTGATTCAGTGGCGCTGTGAACAAAAATCAATCATAGAGTGACAAATCATACAATTATTAATTGTATGATTTGTCACTTTAGGACTGATTTTTGTTCACAGCGCCACTGAATCACCTAGGGTTCATTTATTGCTTACAAGAGAAATATTTTTGTCCTGGAAATCCTGAAAACAGCTCATAGGTGTGAGCAACCTATTGCATTAGGGTCTGCACACTAAAGCTCAAACACCATTTAGGCATTTTTATGTACAGATAAAATATATAAAAATGCTATATATATATATATATATATATATATATAATATATATATATATATATATATATATAATATATATATATATATAAATTGAAAGTAGAAAAAAAGAATTTCAAATATGGTACTATCCAAAATATAAAAGCACTGAAAAACAGGTGCACTTTTTTTCTCTTATGAATAAGATTGCTTAGGCTGGCAATGGATGATGCGATTTCCCAGGGTGGATAAAAATCAATGATTAAATTAAAAAAAAAAAAAAAAAAAAAAATCAGATCAATTTTTTTGATTTAAATCTGATTTTTTTTTAAATAAAATGTTTTTTGCAGAAAATATATTACCATACAAAGGTTATTCCATCATGAAATAAAGATTCGTTTTTTAATTATGTAGAATAAGGCTGTATATGTTTAATTTTTTTGGTAAAATAAATCCCATGAATCCATTCACAATGTCATGCTCTTCCAGAGGTTTTTGTAAGATTATTGGGCAGTTTCTCTGCCTACAAGATATTATCACAGATGTTGGTTTACTTTTGCAGTTCTCAAAACTGAATTTGACTCAGTGGAGATCACAGGCCTCTTCTTCACAGCAAAAATGTTATAACATGAACAGAGTTAAGAAAAAGACCTTCATCCTAACTTCTACAAACCTATGAATACAGAATCAACCCCTTCAGTGCTAAGTTTCAAGAAGTTCAGTGAATAGAATAGAAACAATATATATATATAAACATACATATATAATAATACATACATACATACACACACACACATTGTGTATATATATAATATATATATATATATATATATATATATATATAATATATATATATACACACACACACATTGTATATATATATATATATATATATAATAATATATATATATATATATATATATATATATATATATATATATATTATATATACACATACACACACATATATTTTTTTTTGTTTACAGTGTAGCAAAATGATTGCATCTGTACATACATTTATCAAAATGTTAAGAGTAGACAAGCACACACAACTTGTTTGTGTCATAAACCTTTTAATAGCCAACAACAGCATTTTAATAAAAAAAAAAAAGAAAAAAGAAAACAAAAAAGATGTACATGTATTATTTACAAGATAACATTTTTTTCAAGTTTCGTTTAGAAGTTTGGGTAAAACAGTATCCATTTAAATGGTATTTTTAGACTTTACATAAAAACAAGACATTTAAACGTGTGTTTTGTTCACACACAGGAATTCATTTTGTTATTGCAGAAAACTACAATTTAGATCACAGATTTAGGGAAAGTATTCATTTTTGCAAAGTGCATTTAGCATTGTGTTATTCAGTAACCGTTTGTAAAGTTGCTGTTCCCTATAATTTACATCAGATAGGAAAAGATTGGTCTTTGTATTGGAACCTAAAGTTACCAATATAAATGTAATGTGTAAAATCCAAAACAATGCCACATCTTGTAGTTTACGGTTAAACCATTTAGGCATTTTTATGTACAGATAAATATATAAAAATGCTTTATTTGCAATGTGATCATGACAATATGGACATTATTAATTACAAAGAAGTGCATTCTGTATAAAAGGACCAAATGTGCGCCATGCCAGACAAAACATGCTTGGAGAACCAAATAAAAAAAATTCAAGCTTATTTTCAAAGATGCAAAGTACCTATATCAAGTCATTACTTCAAGTTCTTGTATCACTGAATATTTCCTTCATTGATTTCCATCATAATTGTTCAACTATAAAGTCAGATGTAAGAATGGTGGCAGCTTAGCTTGCTACCTTATTTCAGTTGTATGGAATGCATTTTGACTTCTCATATATATTCGGTCACAGCTTCTGCATATTAAAGTTTGCATTTTAATGAATGCAATGTAGTCTCTGCATAAACGGCAGTTTTTGCTAACAAATAAAGGAAGTCTGAAATTTGTTCTCTTTAAAAATAAAAAAAAAAAAAAAAAACATACATTTACAGTACTGTGGTATTATCTGCATTGTATTCAAGAACTGATGCTGGAGATAAGACCAAGCATAAAAGGGAACACATTTCAGGATTTTGGCAAGGTAGACTATATATAGTTTTGGAATAGTTCACTGTAGCATTAAAAATACTCAATGATCATTTTCCTGGTTCCTTATTTGCACACTGTATGATTCAAATAAGAAATATCACAGAGACCATATGAATGACATCTAGTTTATATGCGGCTTTCGTTTTGGTTTCTCTTCATAGGATTCACCATATTCATTCACTCTAGTCTTATCCACAGGATAAAGCCTGATGAGAAGAAAATACATGGTAAATTACATGGTAAATTGAAAGTAGAAAAAAAGAATTTCAAATGTGGTACTATCCACAATATAAAAGCACTGAAAAACAGGTGCACTTTTTTTTTCTCTTATGAATAAGATTGCTTAGGCTGGCAATGGATGATGCGATTTCCCAGGGTGGATAAAAATCAATGATAAAAAAAAAAAAACGGATTTTTTTTGATTTAAATCGGATTTTTGTGATTTAAAATCGGATTTTTGTGATTTAAAATCGGATTTTTGTGATTCAAATCGGATTTTTTTGATTCAAATCGGATTTTTTTGATTCAAATCGGATTTTTTTGATTCAAATCGGATTTTTTTAAATTTAAATCATATTTTTTTTATTTAAATCGGATTTTTTTTATTTAAATCATATTTTTTTTATTTAAATCGGATTTTTTTTAAATAAAATGCTTTTTGAGGAAAATATATTACCATCCAAAGGTTATTCCATCATGAAATAAAGATTAGTTTTTTAATTATGTAGAATAAGGCTGTATATGTTTAATTTTTTTGGTAAATAAATTCCATGAATCCATTCACAATGTCATGCTCTTCCATGGGTTATTGTAAGATTATTGGGCAGTTTCTCTGCCTACAAGATATTATCACAGATGATCGGTTTACTTTTGCAGTTCTCAAAACTGAATTTGACTCAGCGGAGATCACATGCCTCTTCTTCACAGCAAAAATGTTATAACATGAACAGAGTTAAGAAAAAGACCTTCATCCTAACTTCTACAAACCTATGAATACAGAATCAACCCCTTCAGTGCTAAGTTTCAAAAAGTTCAGTGAATAGAATAGAAACAATATTTTTCTGATTGTTTGGAGTGGAATAGATCTGCACAAGAAGAAAGTGAAACTAAGTGTGAGGAGGAAGGGGCTGACAGTCTAAAGTTCTTAAAATATATATATTTTGATTAGCCAAATTAGTTAACAAACATGGATGTTTAAGCAAATCACATATGCTGGAATGTTGTTGTTTCAGTTGAATAAATCTATTTAAATTGTTATTATTAAGGTAATGATTATTTTTCTCCTTCCTAAGTACAACAGAAAAGTTGTCCAAAAATATGAATGATTAACCTATTAAACTGGGGATAAAAAAAAACTAATATGAAAAGTTGTTATTCTAAAAATCTTCATCTACTTGCATAATAAAGTTATACCAGCAAGAATTAGTCTTTATGTAGAAAACTAGGATTTACATCAAGCCTTACCTGACTAGTGATTTAAATCATGATTTAAATCAGTTTGATTTACATCAAATCCACCCTGCGATTTCCTTTCCTGCAACCACGGGCTGGCTTTAGTACCCTGCTCTGTGCTACCCAGGATACGACAGGCAGGAATGGGAAAAAAAAAAAAAAAAACAGCACACAAACAATATAGAAAATAAAATGCAACAGTGTAGAATTGTTGCAGGCCAAACCACAATTAAGAAATACAAATATATAAATATACACATACAAGCTTCTACATCACTTAATAAATTAATGTGCATTATTTATTTTTTTGCATTGGAGCCTACAAAACATTGCAACCCCAATCAGTAAATTGTTTTTGTAACGCCCAGGCTCCTGCAGACCATTCGTCCAGCCTTGAAATAGATCAGTGGGTCCCCAAGCTGCGGCCCGGGAGCTGGATGTGGCCCTTTGCTTGCTTTTGTCCAGCCCTTGGAGCACTATTCTTCCCACCGACACACTATTCTTCCCAATGATACAAACAATGGGGTACTATCAGGGGCGGACTGACAACTCATGGGGCCCCCAGGCAATAGGGGATCATGGGGCCCCTGTGTCCTTGCCCAAACTCAAAAAAGCCTATGAAAAAGGTACCAGGGCATCTCATGGGGCCCCCTACTGACCCTGGGCCCTCGGGCAGTGCCAGAGTTTCCAAATGGTCAGTCCGCCCCTGGGTACTATTCCTCCCCCTAATACCAAATGTTCACAATCCCGATGTCAGAAAAATTTCCACATCAACTGGCCACAGTTTGGCCCCCCTAAAGTCTAAGGGACAATAAGCTGGCACTTTGTTTAGAAAGTTTGGGGTATAGACCTTCAGTTAAAAAATTTGGAGGAAGTATCAATGAAGTACAAAGGAAGGTGATGCCACCTCACTTCTGCTCTACTGAGAACTACAACTGCAGATGGGACTTACAGATTTTTCATTCACAGATTCCTGTGAGTGAATGAATGAATGAATGAATGAATGATGCAACAGCTGTAGGGGTGGATTGTGAACAGGTTTCAGGTTACACCCCAAATATGGGCGAACATTAATTCATGGTCTGAAAGATGAAGATTTCAAGGTGATTCTGCTTGAGGATGATTGTAGCTGTATTAGTGCACTTCTAGAAATGTTAGTTAACTTGCAACAAATCCCTGAAAGCTGGTCTTGAAAAATTAACTTTGTGGAAATAAAAAAAATATTCAAACAAAGATAGAGACATATAAACAATGTAGACTTACCATCTTTGGTACAAATAAATTAGAAATACCACATCATCTCTAAAACATGCAAGTCTGTGAGATGTCGGCATGGTAATAATAAAGGCAAATATATCATCGATAAACGTATTAAATGCCTGTTGAGAATAAAAGAAACATAAAAATCAATGTAAGTAATGCAGTAAATTCAATTCAGCAGCATCTGACACAAATGACTAAATAGTAGATGCTTAACAGGCCTTCAAACAAAGCTACAGTTTTATGGCAGATGTGGTGTTCAAAGCTACAGTTTTATAGCAGATGTGGTGTTCAAAGCTACAGTTTTATGGCTATCTGCCATAAAACTGTAGCTTTGTTTGAACACCACATGCCATAAAAGTAGCTTTGTTTGGTGTTCAAACAAAGCTACAGTTTTATGGCAGATGTGGTGTTCAAACAAAGCTACAGTTTTATGGCAGATGTGGTGTTCAAACAAAGCTACAGTTTTATAGCAGATGTGGTGTTCAAAGCTACAGTTTTATGGCAGATGTGTGTGTTTTATAGCAGATATGGCATTCAAAGCTACAGTTTTTATGGCAGATGTGGTGTTCAAAGCTACAGTTTTTTATGGCAGATGTGGTGTTCAAAGCTACAGTTTTATGGCAGATGTGGTGTTCAAAGCTAAGTTTTATGGCAGATGTGGTGTTCAAAGCTACAGTTTTATAGCAGATGTGGTGTTCAAACAAAGCTACAGTTTTATAGCAGATGTGGTGTTCAAAGCTACAGTTTTATAGCAGATGTGGTGTTCAAACAAAGCTACATTTTTTATGGCAGATATGGCATTCAAACAAAGCTACAGTTTTAGAAGCCAAACAATGTTTTGTAACCTATTGGGGACCCTAGACAGCATTAGTGACTTTTTTTTCCAAAAGGTGAACTTAAGTCTTTAAAAGTGTATTTTGAATAAACGTAATATACTACAAAAGAATAAAAATATGGCAAAAATGCTGAGATGTGGGAGATATTTCACAATGATTAAATGTATAAATGTGAAGTCAGCAATAACCAAATAATTAGCTGCGTGCCATGAATAAAGACATACCGCAATTCCTACATAAAGAAAACATTGCAATGCTATATCAATACTTCTATAAATGGTGCATCAACCTATAGATTAGTGCATAATAATAAGTCCATGAAAGTCAAACATATTTATGTGAAGCTTGTCCACTGAGATGCCACTGTGTCCAGTGTGACCACCTCCTGCAGGACAACAAATTAAGGAAGTGAACAGTCCCAGTGTTCTGTAAATAAAACTTCCACAAACACCCGTCATGTGTTCCCTCCACTACTAGGAAGACTGTAAACTCACCACAAGTTTTGCTGTCTAGAAACAGAACAGCAATCTGTGCTTGTTATATAGTATCTCTCTCTCCCAAGTTGGACTCCTCTGATCCATCAAGGATCAGTGTTCATACTCAAATCCTGCTCCACCAGGGTCAGTGTTCATACTCAAATCCTGCTCCACCAAGGATCAGTGTTCACACTCAAATCCTGCTCCACCAGGGGTCAGTGTTCACACTCAAATCCTGCTCCACCAGGGGTCAGTGTTCACACTCAAATCCTGCTCCACCAGGGGTCAGTGTTCACACTCAAATCCTGCTCCACCAGGGGTCAGTGTTCACACTCAAATCCTGCTCCACCAGGGGTCAGTGTTCACACTCAAATCCTGCTCCACCAGGGGTCAGTGTTCATACTCAAATCCTGCTCCACCAGGGGTCAGTGTTCATACTCAAATCCTGCTCAAGGGTCAGTGTTCATACTCAAATCCTGCTGCTCCACCAGGGGTCAGTGTTCATACTCAAATCCTGCTCCACCAAGGATCAGTGTTCATACTCAAATCCTGCTCCACCAGGGATCAGTGTTCATACTCAAATCCTGCTCTCACCAGGGATCAGTGTTCACACTCAAATCCTGCTCCACCAGGGGTCAGTGTTCACACTCAAATCCTGCTCCACCAGGGGTCAGTGTTCATACTCAAATCCTGCTCCACCAGGGGTCAGTGTTCATACTCAAATCCTGCTCCACCAGGGGTCAGTGTTCATACTCAAATCCTGCTCCACCAGGGGTCAGTGTTCACACACAAATCCTGCTCCACCAGGGGTCAGTGTTCATACTCAAATCCTGCTCCACCAGGGTCAGTGTTCACACTCAAATCCTGCTCCACCAAAGGTCAGTGTTCATACTCAAATCCTGCTCCACCAAGGGTCAGTGTTCACACTCAAATCCTGCTCCACCAAGGATCAGTGTTCACACTCAAATCCTGCTCCACCAGGGGTCAGTGTTCATACTCAAATCCTGCTCCACAAGGATCAGTGTTCACACTCAAATCCTGCTCCACCAGGGGTCAGTGTTCATACTCAAATCCTGCTCCACCAGGGGTCAGTGTTCATACTCAAATCCTGCTCCACCAGGGGTCAGTGTTCACACTCAAACCCTGCTCCACCAGGGGTCAGTGTTCATACTCAAATCCTGCTCCACCAGGGGTCAGTATTCACACTCAAACCCTGCTCCACCAGGGGTCAGTGTTCACACTCAAATCCTGCTCTACCAGGGGTCAGTGTTCATACTCAAATCCTGTTCCACCAGGGGTCAGTGTTCATACTCAAATCCTGCTCCACCAGGGGTCAGTGTTCACACTCACATCATAAAGGGTCACCAGCCCAAGATGGAGTGGTGGTGCGACCTCCAGCAATATACCTCAACCTGACATTTCCTGCGATAGCGCTTCTTCAGGGGTTTATTTCTAGACAGCAAATCCTTGTGGTGAGTTTGCAATCTTCCAAGTGGTTGATGCAACACAAGACGGGTGTTTGTGGATCACATGGTGGAGTTTTTTTTTTTTTTTTTTTACAGAATACTGGGACTGCTCACTTGGTTAACCACTTGCCTACTGGGCACTTCACCCCCTTCATGCCCAGGCCAAATTTTCTGCGCTGTTGCACTTTGAATGACAATTGCGCGGTCATGCAACACTGTACCCATATGAAAGTTTTATAATTTTTTTCACACAAATAGAGCTTTCATTTGGTGGTATTTTATCACCACTGGGCATTTTATTTTTTGCACTATAAACAAAAAAAAAAAAAAAAAAAGAGCAAAAAATTTGAAAAAGAAAAAAAAATGTTTTTCTGTTTCTATTATAAAATTTTGCAAACAGGTATTTTTCTGGTTCACTGATGTGCGTTGATGAGGCTGCACCGATAGGCACTGATGAGGTGGCACGGATAGGTGGCACTGATGGGCAGCACTTCTGGGCACAGATGGGTGGCACTGATGGGCACAGGCTGGTGTGTGCTGCTGGATACAGATGGGTGGCCCTGCATGGCACTGATCATCAGTGCCGATCCCTTCGCTGACAATTGCTGTTTCTCGGCATTACTTTCCTCACAGTGTGACAGCGAGTGAGGAAAGTGCAGCCGAGAACTGGCAACTGTATTTACTTGGTGATCTGCTGGACACAGATGATCACGTGCTAAAAAGACGCTGTGATTGGCCTTTTACCGTATCACGTGATCAGCTGTGTCTGTAGGACACAGCGATCATCGGCGGCGCATTCTGGGAGGATGTCCTCCCAGAACTAGACAAACGCGCTGTAGACATCCTTCGGCTATAGAGTGGTTGGGAAATGGTTAATTTGCTGTCCTGCAGAGAGGTGTTCACACTGGACACAGTAGCATTTCAGTGGACAAGCTTCACATGTATATATTTGACTTTCATGGACTGATTGCTAGACACTAATTTATAGGTGTATACACCATTTACAGAAGTATTGATATAGTACTGCAATTTTTTCTTCACTTCAGTTTCACAATGATTACTGCACAGGTTACTACTCCATAAAATACGAATAATTTCTAAAAGTGCTAGAAGTCTGGCTGTGTCTGGATTATATACATTTTAATTACAGACTCAGAGCATACAACATGAACGTCAGAATCTGTAGAACTACTGAACCCAGTGATTTGGTTTGGTCATTGACTCAAAGCAGTGAAGCCACTGCATCACCCAAATAATCATCAGAAGAGGTCAGCCTACATATTTCTCAGAGCATGAGAGCAAAATATTAACTCTATTTTTACTTTCCCTTTAAATAGTTAATCTGGGCCAAGTGGGCCCAAATGAACTGTTTCCTTTATTAACAGATGCACCTACTTTCAGAATTGTATAAAAACTGTATGTAGCATAAGCTACATACAGTAAACAGCACTGTGTTCTGGCAGCGAGACGGGGACTCCCCAAATGCTGCTGGAACAAAATACGTAACAAATGCATAACATTTGTTCATTTTAGAAAAAATGCCATTTTAAAGTGGAAGTTCAGGCAAATCCTAACTAAGACTAAACCTTTCAGCTGTTTCAATTTAAAATATTGCATATGTTTACAACTAAGCACATAGAAGGTAAACACAAAAATAAAATGAGCTAGTATTGGATAAAACAAGATAGTAAGGAAAACCTACTTTGTATGTGAATGCTTTCCAAGGCAAATGGGCCACGGATTTCATCTGCAGAAAAAGTAATGATCCATGATTGAAAAGTATAGAGAAAAAAAAAATATATACATACATACATACACATACTCACATACATAAAACATACACACATACACACATACACACACACACACACAATATTGCCAAAAGTATTGGGACGCCTGCAATTACACGCACGTGATCTTTAATGGCCCCCCAGTCTTAGTCCGTAGGGTTTAATATTGAGTTGGCCCCGCCCTTTGCAGCTATAACAGCTTCAACTCTTCTAGGAAGGCCGTCCACAAGGTTTAGGAGTGTGTCTATGGGAATGTTTGACCATTCTTCCAGAAGTGCATTTGTGAGGTCAGGCACTGATGTCCGATGAGAAGGCCTGGCTCCCAGTCTCTGCTCTAATTCATCCCAAAGGTGTTCTATTGGGTTGAGGTCAGGCCTCTGTGCAGGCCAGTCAACTTCCTCCACCCCAAACTTGCTCATCCATGTCTTTATGGACCTTGCTTTGTGCACTGGTGCGCAGTCATGTTGGAGCAGGAAGGGGCCATCCCCAAACTGTTCCCAGAAAAGTTGGGAGCATGAAATTGTCCAAAATGTCTTGGTATGCTGACACCTTAAGAGTTCCCTTCACTGGATTAAGGTGCCAAGCCTAACCCCTGAAAAAACAAACTCACACCATAATCCCCCTCCACCAAACTTTACACTTGGCACAATGCAGTCAGGCAAGTACTGTTCTCCTCGCAACCGCCAAACCCAGACACGCCCATCGGATTGTCAGACAGTGAAGCGCGATTCGTCACTCCAGAGAACACGTCTCCACTGCTCTAGAGTCCAGTGACGGTGTGCTTTACACCACTGCATCCGATGCTTTGCATTGCACTTGGTGATGTAAGGCTTGGATGTAGCTGCTCGGCCATGGAAACCCATTTCATGAAGGTCTCTACACACCATTGTCTGAAGGCCACATGAAGTTTGGAGGTCTTTAGCTTTTGAGTCTGCACAATTGGCGACTTCTGCGCACTTTGGGCTTCAGCATGGGCTGACCCTGCTCTGTAATTTTTCATGGCTGAGTTGCTGTTGTTCCCAGTTGCTTCCATTTTGTTATAATACCGCTAACAGTTGACCGTAGAATATTTAGTGGCAAGGAAATTTCACGGATGGACTTATTGCACAGGTGGCAAGATATCACAGTACCACGCTTGAATTCACTGAGCTCCTGAGGGCGACCCATTCTTTCACAAATGTATGTAGAAGCAGTCTGCATGCCTAGGTGCTTGATTTTATACAACCATGGCGGTGACTGACACACACGCACACATGTAGAAATTAAAAAGAAAGTACCTTATAATTTACAAATAACTGTGGCAGCATAAAAAGGAACCCAAAAGCATAAACACCTGGAAAAAAAAAACACATTTTAATTAGAAAAAGGGAATTCACAATGCTACAACTGAAAACATTAATTAAATATAGTGTGTCTATATAACAGCGATTAGATAAACTGAACATGCTAAGGTGGGCACCCAACTCAGGATCTGGTGCTTGAAGTAAACAACACAGCCCAGCCCCACACCAGTGGAGTCCAGGTTTTGTCCCCAAGGTACATGACAGGAGTTACCAATCCAGAAACTGTTCGGTAACCATGGGCACTAAACAGTCACATCTTGATAAAAGTGTCTGAAGAAAAAAGGAACTGTATGATTGTTTTCCTAAGCAGATGTTAAATGCAAAGACAAAGAAGGGTTGGGTCATAAGACCAAAAAGTTGCACTAATAAAACAAGTTGAGAAAAAAAGGCATATATTTTTTTTATTAGGTATCAAAATCTCTCTTGGAATTAAAGTGGTATTAAATCCAAAAGCAAACATTTATTATGTTGCAGCTTACCAATTCTTAGATGTGGTGGCTGCATTAGTTTTCTTTTTTAGGCTCTCTTTCCTTTATTTTCATCTGGCGACCTGTCCAGTAAGTCTGTTGTTTTTCAAAAGAACAAGTTATCCTGAAACTCTAGCAATTTAGAGGGTTTAGGAGCAGTCTGTAACAAGTTTCATGTGGACTGAGGAGGAATTAACCAGTTTGGTAAATTGATGTATTTGTATGTCTGAGAGTGGCCTGTCCATTTTGATAAAGTCCCAAATGTAATTTGGAACTCCTTGATATTCAAGATCATTTTGTAGGCAGTGGATAACAGTTTAATGGTAGAGTCTTGATGCATATAAAGGGATTTACAATTTGTTAGATTGTCATGTGTACGTACTGTGCCAACGCATGACAATCCAGTAAAAAGATCACTGGATTAAAATAGATGCCAATCCACTGAGCAGATTCTCTAGCCCACATACTATCTAAGAATAACAAAACCAACTGTCCAAAAAGGTCCACTTAATATGGACTGATTTCAGCCTGAAATCCGTTAGCCAGGGGACATCTGCAGAGTTTCCATAGCTGTATGATCATCCCATTTATTTCCAGTCTTATACAGACACATTTAAAAAGATTGATTCCTGTTGTTCAGGCTTTAATTTGCACGACTAGACCTTGGGCAAAGCAAATATAACATATGAATCATTAAAAAAAAAAAAAAAAATAGGATTTTTATACTCCCTTTAAAATTATTTTCTTGGAGTACACAGAGGGACTGGGATGTCCTTCAGCTTCGGGATATACTGCCTCCTACAGGAGGATTAGAGACTGACAGACTGGTGGGCATCGTGAAGATCTTCCAAAACACCATAATGAAGGACATTCTCTATTCCAGAGCAAGATTCCTGAGCCAACAAACCAGGAACAACATGGTCCTCAGTATCAACCAAAAACAATCTGTCCAGAGACCAGAAGAAGGCATGTCCTTCGAGACGCGTCAGCTGTACTGAGTGGCTTCCTCCATGATGGGATTCGCATTGGCATCTTGCCTCTAAAGTCCCTTTGAGGACTTACATGCTTGTTTTTATTCGCTGTTTGTGAGTACCATTCTTCTATTCAATAAATTTTTGGGTACTGAGGTAATGCGCAAGGTTGGTGCGCTTCTCTTTTGTTGTTCTCCTTCACAGTTTAGAATATGTTGTGACAGTGCTGTGGCTGCAGATTGGGCAACTATTTGCCCTTAGGCTTTGTTCACACTTGTGCACAAAAAAAAAACCAAAAACAAATTGCATTAATTCTAATGGCACTGTCCACACTGGAAAACAACAGCCACATAGAAATGAATGGGGGTGTTTCTAATAATGCAGAAAATGAGAAGACTTCAGTCAATTTCTAAGGCTTCCTCTGCAAAAGATTGGTGCTCTTCCTAGAAGTAACAGTCTTGAAGATACTGTCAAAAGCCAGTCCTCCGAGGGATGCTGTCTACTGAAGACCATGCAGATAATTTTTTTTCACACAAGGGTTCCACAGTCCAACATTTTAGTCAAAGTGCCCTATGCACATGTACCAACATGAGACACGTGTTGAAAATGAGATGAGAGTCTTACAGCAAACTATCACAGTTGAAATGTAACAATATAGCCATCTGGTTCATAAGTTCAAAAGGCAAAGGATCAATCGCAGCAGTTTTCTTATCTCTTTTAAAGCAGTATTAAACCCAAAAGCAAACATTTATTATATTGCAGTATTTTAGGTGTGGTGTCTGCATTAGTTTCCTTTTTAGGCTTTTTTACCTTCATTTCAACTGGTGATCTGGGCAGAACAAGCTGTCCTGCAGATGTAGCAGTTCGAGGGATGATAAAAACTAACACTGACAGGAGTGCTTACAATGATCAGTTGTTTATGTAAAACCTTTATCCCAAAAGGGAAAAAAAAACTTGCTATAACTGTTTAAAAAGTGTTAGCTGGAGTATGGCTTTATTTGTTAGCTCTAGAAAGGTTTTCCAACCACACTAGTAAACCCGCTACTTAAATAGTAAGCACCCTGTTAAGAGGCTAAGTGGCCAGATCAAACAGTCAGAATGGACCACTTCTGCAGAAAATCCTCACAATAGGAATACAAGGCTAACAAGCACCTAGGGGAGAATCAGGATGCTTTCAATATCCATGCAGAAATAGTTGAAAAAACGGGTGCAAAAGGTAAAACCTTTGTGGCTTTAGGAGTCTTAAATGACCCAAGGCTGGAACAGCACTGGTAGAAGCAACAGACTAATATTGTAGTTTCACAGTGGTATGTACTGCATCAATAAGAGCCAAACAATTCTCTAATCTGGAAGTAGTACCAGAAGACGTTGACTCCTTTGGGGTAAGCTCATCAGTCAAGCACTGGAGGGCTTTAGAATCAGAGCCTTTGTGGCCAATGGCTCAGAAGCCACTAGGGCAATGGGCAATTCAGATATAAAAAATGCTAGAAAGTTAGTATGAGCATGCTTGTAGGCCTTTGTGATCATAGACAAATAACTGGGTGATCTGGGCTATAAAGTCTTGCATGATTGTGGCAAAAACCCCAGCAAAAAGGGCACAGGACCCAGCTACACCTAGTGGCGCTTACAAGAACTCTGAGGATGGAATAGACTCCAAGAGCAAAAGGCAACTTGACTCCAAGTTTGAAATGTCAACACCGACAGCAGGAATGCTACAAGTCACATCGGAGCTGTTAGAAAGTAAGCTGGGGGCACCAAGTATAGTGGAAATATCCCCTCCATGTCTAGAATCAACCATGCTGTGACTACATGATGTTGGCAACATATAGGCTTGGAGTGAGAGGCAAGGCTTTAAGTACTTATTAGACCCAGACAGCTGGTAGCAGGTAAGGGTGCGTTGGCTGGAGGTGACCAAAGTCAATTTAGGTGGGTAGCAGGAAAGGATGGAAAAATCGAAGTTTCTTGTGGCTCCTGCAAACATTAACTGTAGTGGGGAGATGCATTCTTAAAGTGTTACTAAACCCAGGACCCTACATTCACTATATCTGGTCTCCCATAGTACACACTACATGGAAATACAATTATTTTAGTAAATATAAATATACTGCTAAATACCTTTTCTCATCAGTAGTTAGAGAAGTCTTGTGACTTCTATCAGTGACCAGCTAAGCACATGTTAGAGCAGAACGAAAACGTCTCCTACAAGCTTTAAGAGGATGCAGGACCCCTGACCTCTGTCTGGACAGTGCTGATTGGCCCTATGCTGATCAGATGCAATCTCCCAAGGTAAGAAAAAATCCTCTTTAGCAATACACACCAAACTGAGCATATGCAGAGTGACTCCACACATGTCTCCTCAGGAGATAAGAGATCAGAGGGGACACTGAGTATAACAAGCAGAACTGCTGAATCTCTTCTCCCCTCTCTTCCTCTTCCCACAGGCCATTGGCTCCTGCTGTTGTCAATCAAATGCAGTGAGGAGGAAGTGGGGGGGCAGGGCTAAGCAGTCCAGGAGGGGCTGTGAATCTATGAAGCGTGGTTCCATAGACACACATCTTAAAGGGGGGAGTGAGCAGACACCATGTGCCTTCATTGGCTCCTGCTGTTGTCAATCAAATTCCCTGTGAATCTGAAGCTGTGTTCCATATCTTGGGAGCAAATGGCCTACTATGGGGACAGACTAAAAAGAGGAAGAGCCAAGATCACCAGCAGAGGCCAAGATCACGAGAAGAGGAGCTTTGGGGCCGATAGGGAGTATAACATATTTGTCATTTTAATTTTTTTTAAAAATCAGCCTTTAATAACACTTAACACTGAGGCATGCTTTAGTAGGAAGGGTTACTCTTGGCTGGCCTCTAGTTTGATTCTTGTTTTTTTTTTTTTTTTTGCCAGAGTCCAAGTCTCCTGTATGTGGCAGTATAAATGCAAAACTTAGAGACTTCATGTGTCCCAGAATTGACTCCAAGAAAATGATTTTCAAGAAAACTTGATTTCAAAGACAAAGAAACAAACAAAAAAAAACTTTTTAACAGCATGTGAAACATGTAAGTAAAAAGAACCTACCATTGACAAAGCTGTTAATCAACCAAGAATACCAGCTGTAAAAGCACAAAAACAGTTTAATACATTAAAAACATGAATTCTCAGTCAGCACCCACATTTTTTTTTTTAAAACTGTGATTTACATGAAGCAGCAATAGAAAACCAAAAGAGAACAGTTACCTGTATGCCAACAATACACACAAAGTGATAAAGTATTAACAGACTAGATGTTTTGGTTTAACAATTTAATTGGAGTACGGGCAATTAATAGTTTTGTGTTTGTCTTATAAATAATTATCAAATAAATGTGCGATTTTGTCCTCAGGATCTGGATATATTTTTTGGTACAGTGAATATAAATATTCAAAGTGACAGATTCACAGTTTACCTCTTGTAACATGTTACACTCATATTCAGGGTGTAACATTTAACATGCTACAAACGGACCGACCCCGTCCCTGCACCCCCCGATCCCCGTTGTAACAGCTAATGGGGATCTTCTCCCCCCACTAGCTGTCACTGCCCAGCCGTGTCAATCATTCACAGTATTCTGTGGATGACAACACTACAACTTCTGACAGCCTTAGTGGAGCACAGTGATAGTTCATTGCGTCTTCGTCAGTAAGCAGATGCTTGCCCAAACGGAATGTACGGACACACAGATACACTGACAGGTCTGCAGGAGACTTGCATGGTACCAGCGATCTGCTGATCGCTGGTGCAATGCTTTATAGGGGTATTGAATTAAAATTCAAGGAGGTCCGGTAACTAAAATCTTCTTCTGGCCGAGGTCCGAAAATAAATGTCTCCATTAGTGTTGCCCCTCCAGAGTAATTTATTACATTGGGTGCCACCATCAGATTTCCACCATAAATCAGTTGCCACCATCAGAGTACCCCCCTACATCAGGCGTTCCCATCAGAGTGCCCCCCTACATAAGGCATTTCCATCAGAGTTCCCCCATACATCAGGCATTTCCATCAGAGTTCCCCCATACACCAGGCATTTCCATCAGAGTCCCCCCCTACAACAGGCATTTCCATCAGAGTCCCCCCCTACAACAGGCATTTCCATCAGAGTTTCCCCATACACCAGGCATTTCCATCAGAGTTCCCCATACACCAGGCATTTCCATCAGAGTTCCCCCCATACACCAGGCATTTCCATCAGAGTCCCCCCCTACAACAGGCATTTCCATCAGAGTCCCCCCTACAACAGGCATTTCCATCAGAGTCCCCCCATACAACAGGCATTTCCATCAGAGTGCCCCCCTACATCAGGTATTTCCATCAGAGTCCCCCATACAACAGGCATTTCCATCAGAGTTCCCCCATACAACAGGCATTTCCATCAGAGTTCCCCCATACAACAGGCATTTCCATCAGAGTTCCCCCATACAACAGGCATTTCCATCAGAGTTCCCCCATACATCAGGCATTCCCATCAGAATGCCCCCTTACATCAGGCATTTCCATCAGAGTGCCCCCATACAATAGGCATTCCCATCAGAGTGCCCCCTAACATCAGGATTCTGCATCAGAAGGCCCCCTTAAAAAAATGCACCTTCCCATTGAAATAAATGGAAAATGTGGCAAAAACACATCTATACACACCAGCGTTGCATTTTTGGTGCGGATTTTGAGCAACATGTTCTTTAAAAAAAACGCACCTCAAACGCGGTAAAATGCAGCAAAACGCAGTATGTAAGTAGCCTTACAGTGCATTTATCTTTACCAGTTCAGCTATTGTAAATGATGAACTTGTGTTCCAGTTTACAAATTTTGCATTTGTTTCTGAAAAGCACTTGGATAATCTTTGGAAATCTGCTACATTTTTCAGCCTTCGGAGATTAACTGAATGGTTTTTAATTTCTGTTTCTGTTAGCTCTGATATCTGTGTGTTCTTTGACAAGCCTCGTGCCGGGGCAGGCAGAAAACTGAACTTGAGTCTTTCTAAAGATTTGGTATTTTGTTCTGATCTAGCCTTAACTATCAGCTATTAAGCTCTTAGCAATACTGTGGGGTGCACTGTAGTGCCTGCCTGCAGTGCCCCATCCATGTCAACAGTGGTACTACTTTTAATACAGTCGAAGCTAAAAAAAAAGTCAGGCTTCACAGCTGGATACCCATTGCGCATGCGTGAGTAGTGCTTTGCCTTATGAATGGCCCCGTAGTCTTCAAGGACCTGTTGTGTGTCCCTGAAGACTACAAGGAGGAGCGGGGGGGAGCTGGGGGGGGGGGAAGTATCAAAATCAGGTATTCGCACCCTGGGGTTGGGTGTGTTTGCAGCAGTATCAAAATCAGGTATTCGCATCCGCTCCCCTGAAAGGTGTCAATTCTGCAACCCAGGGAGTGGGGAACCAGTACTTACAGCAGACCCCCCTCTGCCTCCCTATTTGGGTGGAACTGCCCCGCTTTAAGTTTCATTGAAAGCCTTCTTCTGCCTTTTGGTGATACAGAAGATACAATTCTATCGTGACGCACAACCAATCACTTTAATATAAGCACATCACATTTATGCTCAATTGTCTATTGGCGGGCATGCTTGTTCCAGGGTCATTTACTTGAAGCCAGCACATCACAAACAACAAGGCAACTAGGTATTCTTTATAGAGGGTCAGCAATGGCAGCCTCAGTATTTAAGTACAGATTTCCATTTATGTATGGAAAGATTTCATTTAAACTGAATGCTAATAAAAATAAAAGCATACAACAAAAATGTTCAAGCCTTCAAAGTATTTTCCAAAAAAATCATAAACATAAATGTGTTACCTTTTGTATCTTATATTCAAAAGTGAATACACTGCCCCACCAACGCATAATGGATATAATAGGTATGACAAATATTTCATTGCCTAAAAAAAAAAAACAATACCGTTTATATAAGTCAAGGACAACTGTAGTTTTTATATTAAAACTGGTGCAATGTATAAATGGAACTGCAAGTACTGCTTTAAAGGAGAAGTATGGCCGAAGCTCTTTTAGTCATAGTTCTCCAATGGGTTACAGGAGTGCACTTAGTTCTGCCCTCCTGTGACCCAGATTCAGCTGAAAGTGTGCTAAAGCCCGCTGTAGGCTGACATCACAGAGCTGGTCCAGGTTCTGCAGGGATCCCAACAATTTCGGGTTCCGCCCAGATGCCTCACTAGCAGCTGGCTCAGTTTTTCAATACGCTGCTGAGAGCCTGAGCCAGCTACGCCTGCTCCCTCCTCAGCCCGGCGCTCCAGTAAGCGCTGGAGGAGCAGAGCATAGAGCAGTGACTAAGAACTGAGCGAACAGCTGTTGATCGCTCAGTTCTTGGTGTAGAGTCAATAATATATGAAAGTTTGTTTTTTTTAATGATCCCACACTTCTATTTTAATGCCATGCCCCTGCATTGAATGGGAACATGTTGGTACAGTTATTAGCTTGACAGCTAATAACTGTACCAACATATTCACCTTTATTGGAATTTCTTGAAATTACCAACAAAGTCTCTTTAAAAGGCACAACAATTAATTTGGCACTCTCATGGTTTAGGTCTATGCTCAACTCTCCGTTATGTCATGCTACCTGAAAAGAATTGTTTACACTAAGAAAAGGAATGATTTTTAAAGCTGAACTCCAGGGAGAAAATATTTATCTGCTTGTTATGTCCAGGGGGTGATGACTATGGTGAAATGCTAACCTTATACCTAGGCTCCACTGGCAGCCTGAAATCTATTTCTGCTATCTGATGCCCTGAAATGTGGGAGGGCCCTCAGTGTTCTTCATTATACGGGATGACATCAGAGATCTGCAATCGGGGCGGTTTTGAGGGGCCAGTCACACGACAAGAAGAAGGTCTGTCATAGTGAAGAATAAAGAGGTACTGTATATCCCCTTATTCATCATCCTCTAGGCTAGGCAAAACAAGAAGTTAACCTCTGCAGCGAAGAGGGGGACCCACTGCAAGGGAAAAATCTTATATTTCTCTGGAATTCAGCTAAAAAAAAAAAAAAAATCAGTGCATTGCTCAGTGTATACTATGTTATGTTTTCTGTTAGCATGATGTATGGAAGTGCTAAATGCCTTATTCCTGTAATCCTGCAGAATAAGGGCTCGTTCACACTTGGCTGTTTTGCCAACACTTGCCAAACGCCCCTATAGCGTTTGGCAAGCGATGGTCCGGCGTTTGCGGAGCGTTTTTAACGCTCCGCAAACGCCACATGCGCGGTTTAGCAGCGGTTGCTAGGCGTTTGCCGAGCGTTAATAACGCCCCACAAACGCCTATAATGCAATTTGAGTGGTGTTACCGCTCCGCAAACGCCCCGCAACCGCGTCGCAACCGCCGCCGGCCGGGCGTTTGCGGAGCGGCACCATAGACGAGAATAGGAGGCTTCAAAGCCTCCTGACTCGACCAGAGGCGTCAGTTTTTGCCGCGACGACGCAAACGCTCCCGTTAGAACAGCACCATGTGCTGTAATGTGCAGAATTGGCAGAGGCGTTTGGGAAGCGGTAAAAACGCTTCTCAAACGCCTCTCTGCCGCCTGCACACAAGGCTAGTGTGAACGTAGCCTTAGTCCCTCAAAGTCTCCTCCCTTTACTGCCAGACCGGTGATAGCTCTCTTATGTCATCTTGTACAATGCAGGACCAGCAGTCCTACACTGTACATGAGAGCGCTGAGGGGCTGCCCACATTCCAATCATCAGACAGCAGATAAGGACGCAAGCTGCTGAGGGAATAAATTAAGTATATCATGTTATTTATCACCCCCTAACAAAAATAAGCAAAACCCAGGAAATGCAGAGTAAAACCTCACAAGATGGCACTCTAGCAGGGTGAGGGATTGTGTTCTAATGGATGGCGGGTCCAGGAGAATGAGGAATTGTTTTCTCATGAGCTTTGGGCTACTCTGCATTACCCTGGGTCTTCCTTGGAAGTATGGTGATGTTACCTTAGCACTACAAGTTGAAGCGAGAGAACTAATCTTTTTTTTCCTGTTCATGTTTTTGTAAGGGGAGGGGCCCTCTTTAAATAAGAAGGCCTTTTTCTATTTTAGTCAATTTTTTTAACCACTTGAGCCCCAGGCCAATTTTGACATTCCTCTCCTACATGTAAAAATCAGCATTTGTTTGCTAGAAAATTACTTAAAACCTCCAAACATTATATATTTTTTAAGCAGAGGCCTAGAGAATAAAGTGGCTGGGGTTGCAATTTATGTCACACGGTCACAGCAATTTTTCAAATGCTATTTTTTGGGAAAAAATAAACGTTAATAAATTTTAATGCACAAAAACACAATATAATACCAACTTGTTTAGTAAATATAAAGGATGATGTTACACCGAGTAAATGGATACCTAACATGTCACGTTTTAAAATTGTGCACGTTCGTGGAATGGCAACAAACTATGGTACTTAAAAGTCTCCATAGGCAATGTTTTAAAAGCGTTTACGGGTTGCCAGTTTAGAGTTACACAGAAGGTCTGGTGCTAGAATTATTCTTCTCACTATAACGTTTGCAGCGAAACATCACAAATGTGGTACGAACACCATTTACAAATGCGTGCACAAGCTTTGAAAGCATTCGCCTTTGCGCATGAGTATGGGGCGCTTTAATTAGCCACTCAGATAGCTTTTACTTTATTCAGCATTGACAGCTGACAAAAAAAAAAAAAAACGGGGTCATGCCTGCAGCTATGGTCCTGATAGAACCACTGAAACCCGACAACATACAGGTACGTTGTTGGGCAGCAAGGCATAACACTAAATTTTACTATTGCATTTGACTAAACTAGGATGTCTGGATAAGCATCATCTGCTATCCTTTTGAGGAAACTTTTAACTGTACTCCAGCATGCCAGTGACACCATCTTCCAGCAAGTACAGTGTACTGTTAGTAAGAAACAAGATTTCTACAGGTTTTTGTTTGCTTCAGCAAGTGTACTGTGAATTTTGAAATTACTTTGCCTGAAGCCACCTGCTCTGAGCCTGGATATTAATATTTAGGGGTAATAATGACAGGGGTAGTTGATCCAGGAAATATTCAGATTCACTCATGGGGGATTCGAAAGTCATTTTTTTCCCCCACTGGTGGCAAATTGGATCATTCTTTATTGGGGTTTTTTGCCCTCCTCTAGATCAATTGTGCGTATAAGATTGTGTATATGAAGATTTTCTATTTCTGTGTTTTTTTATTGGTTGAGCTAGACTGGCTATTGTGTGTTTTGGGGAACCCATTAGGGTTTGTTTGCTGCCTTGCTGAATACAGTACAGAACAAAGGAGGAAGGAAAGAAAGGTAAGGATGATTTTGGTACTCGGCTTCTACTGTACTCTAGTTATGTGACTGGAAGCAAAACCTGTGCTTTATATTATGTGACTTTTCCAAAGTGGCAAACGTAGGGCTAGTCTACGGGAGGGAGATAATGGGTAGGACAATCCAGCCAGCAGGGGAACTTTTTCAGTTGCCATGTGACCAAATTAGGGAATTATAGCCCTAACAACTTGTAATATAAAACATTTTTTTTATATAGATATATAGATATATATATATATATATATATACACACACACACATATATACATGTAAGAAAATAATACCTGAGTATCATATTCTTCAGTTTTCTTTTCAGATTCACTGTAGGTTCCAAACTGTGAAAAGAAGGAAATATGAGATAAAAAAAACCAATTGAAGCGCAACTGCAGTTTTTTTTAAATTTTAGAAAGAGCAGGGGAGGTACATAACATCAGGCCGCTGTTCGATTCCAAAAAAATGGTCAACTAGGACAGTCTTCAGCTGCAGTTCTTATTGCAATTACCACAGATGTCAGGCCAGAAGAGATTTGCAACAAACACAGTTGCAGCAAAGGATGTGTGGCTTCCACCTACTTTTGAAATTTGCTTGAGGGATTTATTGTTGAAATTCAGTAGCTGCACTTTCTTAACTGCATGTATGACTTTACAAATGGGGTCATATGGTGTTTATCTCTGCCCAGAGACAACAATTCTCCAATTACTGTAGATGTGCTTATCAGCTGTCTGATGGGGCAGCTGAGTGGTCAGGCAGGGAACTCCCTGAACCTCAGAGGCAGACACTTAAAGCACTATTAAGCCCAAAAGCAATCATTTATTATATTGCAGATTACCAATACTTAGATGTGGTGGCCGCATTGATTTTCTTTTTTAGGCCTCTTTCACATGGACATTCTGATCAGGTCCGCCTGTGTTTTTCTGGCAGACCTGAGCAGAACCTCCATCCTCCTGTATGGAGCGGTGGGTGTAACGGACATGTGTCCATTTATACCCGCCGACATCCGATCCGACCTGCAAAAAAAGGGACGGATGGGGATCCAATTCCCATTCCTTCCATTGGATCAGGTCGGATGGAAACAGACAGGCGGTTCGTTTTCATTTGACCACCCATTGAGGCAAAAGAGCTGCTCTGTGTCCGCTCTGCAGCAGCGGAGCGGGCACAGATCTGTCATCAGCTTGCTCCGCTGAGCAAGCGAATCTGCTAAACAGGTCCACCAATGTGAAAGGACCCTTAGACTCTCTTTCCTTCGATCTTAGTTGAGGTTTCTCTTCAATTTGTCATTGCATCTAAATCTGCTAGTACATCTAATATTAACCTCTGCCCAGATTAACAACGCTGCTATCTAAAAGGTGTCTTTGTTGCTCCTCCATCCAGAGTGTTAATACCCTATGACAGGAAGGGTGTTACTAGTTAGATCACTAGGTGAAAATACAGGGGAAAAAAAACGCTTAAAGTGATACTAAACCCAGGAACCTGCATTCACTATATCTGGTCTCCCACAGTACACAGAACATGGAAATGCAATTATTTTAGTAAATATAAACTGCTAAATACCTTTTCTCATCAGAACTTAGAGCAGTTTTGTGACTTCAGCAGAGCACTGGTTAAAACTTTTAGGAAGAGTTTTCTTTCTGTTCTAGGAGGATGTGAAACCCATGACCCTCTGTCTGGACAGTGCCGATTGGCCCTGTGCTGATCACATGCACTCTCCCAAGAAAAAAAAAAAAAAATCTCTCTAGTAATACACACCAAACTGACCATGTGCATTTGACTACGGTTTCAGTCGGTATCAGGTGGTCATTTCAACAAGAGGAGGGGCAGAGAAGAAAGGCTCAAACAGCCTTTTCACACAATGCAGAGGATTAACCCCTTAGGTTCCACAGTGAGTATAACAAGTATCCTGTACTGCATACAGAGACTGATTTTACTGTTGTGGGTTTAGTAAGACTTAAAAAAAAAAAAAAAAAAAAAACACGAATGCAGTCACAGTGTTTATGAACTTGTAATCTGCAATATAGTCAATAAGTAGGGGGCTGGGGTAGTCCAAGAAGAGATGGGAGGGGCAGAACCCTAGCTAATGGTGGAGACCATGAAGTCAAACATGCCATGGCAACTATGCTGGCTAATGTGACATACAGGCATCAGGCAGTTCCCTGCGCCAATGCTTGACAAAATAAGCCCACTGTAGGAATGCCAGCTGCTAGGGCCCACAGCAACTGTTCTCTTCAAAGCAGGTTGTAGGAGTGTCCCCTGTTGAGATGCCACGAGAAGATACTGTGGCAGATTCCGGAGCAAACACAGAGGAGTATTAGGTGGGCAGGGGCAACACTGAGGATTTAGAGCCCCATTAGGTAAGAGCACAACACCCCAGTGTCAGAGTGTCACCCTGGAGAAAGAGGGAGATGATGATACTGATGGGTACAAGTTACCACACCAATGATCCTACAAGACCCAAAGAACACGAGTTACCAAGTAGGAGACGGTGTCTGCCAAACTGGGACATGGCTCCTGAGGCTTAGTTTACACAGGAGATGTTGCAGGAACCCCAAGGTGTGGAGGTAAGGTCTTTAAATCTGTGTGGTGGCACAGAGGGGTAGAGAGAGAACAAATGATACCAGAAAGCCAAGCTACCCAAGGACTTCAAGTATTAGCAAATGTACCCCAACATGGAAAAACTGGGGCTCAGCATCATGCTGAAGATTTCTCTGAAGACTTAGTGGGTTTCTTGCTTCCAGCATTGCGTGCTGCCAGAAAACCAGGCCTAGAATGTCTTGGGTGTGTCTACTCCAGGTGAAAAACATTGATGTGGCTCAGCCGACCCGGTCTAAAAGACCTCGGATGTCTACCCTGAATATAATGCAGTGCACATCACACTGCATTACATTCTTTCCTGGCCTCGATAGATGAGAAATCTTTCAACAGGGGTTGTGGAGGAGAGAGAGGCTGGCACTGTGTGGAAGCAATCACCAGCATCGCTGCCACCTGAATGCTTCCACCTGACAGGTGAGCCCTGCTGCTTGCCTGGGCTCCCAGGGCTAAAGGTTAAAAAAAGCTACCTACCCAGCGCCCGGAACCACAAGTCCCGGGGATATGAATTCAACATCCCTGTTAGATGATTCTAGCAAGCCATCACAACTGAGGTGCGGGGCTCTAGACATCTGATCCACAAACTCCAACAGGAAGAAGTCCACAGCAGCAGTGGAGAGATCTCTTTTAAAATGTATTTCCACTTTTTGAAGTCAAATTTGAGAAAACCCCACTATACTGTATGTGTTCACACAGCATATCTAAAAGAAAAAAGGCCTAATGGCTGACTACAGGCATTGCCGAACACTGTCAAATTCAGTCTGTCCCAACAGAAATGATTAGTCCCTTCTCATTAACACACATTGTATGAAGCAGACCTTCTTAATCTTTATAACTTTGTTAGGACAGACTGTGTACAAAGCTGTGTACTGTGCTGGCAGATCTTACTATCAGTTGTGGACAGTGTTAATTACAGCAAATCATGCTCCCCAGCCCCCTCATAAACAAAGAGAATCTAGTAGTATTTTCCATCTTTTATCAGAAAAGAACATTTCAAATAACAAGCTGCAATTTATTTACCGTTTTATTATGTGAATTAGAAATATAAAGCAGGTGTTCTAACAATTTGGATGCAAAAGTGGAAATATGCTTTAAAGGATTTAACCTATTCTGCCACAGTTTGACAGATTAAGGTAACAACTAGGACATGGTGAAGGACAGCATCCCCCAGTAAAAACTTGCTCTTAAGGTGGGATTTCAGCTGTTGGTCAGTAAGATCCTTAAAAGCAAGCAAACAATCTACTGTTCAAGTGGTTTCCTTGTTAAAGTGGATCACTGGCAGAACCACAGTGGATAAAGACCACCATTTAACAATTTTCCTGCAAAAGGGGAAAATTTTGTCACATACTCAGATGGGATCCAGGGTCCTTTGAGTTGCTTTCAGTCTTTCAGTGGAAAGGTCTCTGTGGCTGCAGGAGCTCTGAAAGATCCAAGACTGGAGACAGCAGGCTGATTCCCCAGATGCAGAGTAGTACATACAGCATCAATATGGGCCCAAACAGTCTCTTATACACCCGAGGTATGGCAGAATACTGCTATTCCTCAACTCACTTCAGTAGAATGTATGGACTTTGAGTCAGCGATGGTTACTGCGACTGGTGACCCAATGTCTTCCAAGGCGGCAGGGAGATCAGAGACTGACTCTGCAGGGGAAAGCATTAGAATCTGTGGTCAAAATCCTCAAGGAATTAGGTACATTTGACCACAAATTCCCATGTGATTGTACTAGAGGACCGTGATGACAAGTCAGGGAACTATTCCTCACCCAACTGGGCTAAGTAGGACTTCAATGATGTAGGGTTTATAACCACAGGATAGCACGATTCCTGATTACAGATGTCAGTTTCCTCATAAGATACAGAGCAAATGTCCCGAAATTGTTAGGCGAACATGAGCTGGAGCCACCTGTTGCAGTGGGACCATCCCCTCTTTGACTAAATGCAGACATGTTGGCACTTTGTGGCAGTAATGCAACTACACTCAGTGTATGAAGCAGTCTCAACTACTGACAAACACAGGAAGATAGGAGCCGATGAAGGCTTGAAGGCTGGAGCTGACCAAGGTCACTGTAGCTGGGCAGTAAGAATAGACCAGAGATCAGCATTCCAAGTGTTTCCTTGTCAATGCAGGAGGAGCAGCAGAGGTGATGCTTCTTCCACAATAAATAGTAGGAAAGAAATTGCAGAGCTCACTTCACACAGTTGCAGTAAAGCCAGTCCAAAGTAGGGAATTTAAAGACACCTAGTGATGCACATAGTGAAATAGCTCAGCCTGATAAACCTACTCACAGTCTTTAGAGACAGGAAAAGTGTAGAGGCAATGCTAGCAGCTCTGGAGCTGGAAAGAGCTCCATGGATTACTTATTACCAGGACGGAGTTTGGAAGGTGTCTGATGCAGAAACCAGTGCTTGAAGGTGACTTCTAGGCTAGCCCTGCAACGTCTAGCTCATCAGTGTCTGAGTAAAGTGCTTCAAAGCTAGGCTGCAGTCTTGATAGCTGCCATTTGGAAGACCTAATCAGGCAGCAATGAAGCAAGGAATCTTGAATGAAGGAAAAACTGAAGAAGCATAAAAAAGCTAGCAAAAAAATGGTTAGTCTTTTCTCAGCAAAAATGAAAAAAGAGACATCTATCTTTTTAGGACAATGACAAAAAACTGAGGCATGCTGGACAGAAGAGGGATTTATCCTTGGCTGAACTATAGATTTTTTTTTTGTTTGCCAGTGAACAATCCTCCAGCAGGCAACAATATATGAGATAATCTATGACTTCTTATGTTCCACAATGGATGAAGAAAAAAAAAAAAGTTTTGGTTGGAGCAGGGCTTTAAACACAGCAAATGGCAGCACTCTATTCAAGATCATCTCACCTTGATTGCAGGAATTAGACCTCTGAACTGGAAAGTTATTTTCAATGCCTTCTTGACCTTCCAGACCTGGAGGGAAAAAAAAAGGAAGAATTAGTTTCTCCACAAACTGAATTAGTGATAACGATCAACTAATTTGATGGATTAGATTACCAATGTATGATTACTGGTCATTTTTTTCTTTGAAAGATCCCCAACATTTTCAAAAGATTTTCCCCACCTCACAAAAAAAAAAAAAAAAAAAAAACTTTAAAAATTAAGCCGTTACAAAAGAAAACAAAAATTGGTCCCAGCTTCCGAGAAGCACAGGTGTTGTCACCGTGTGTCATCGCTGACTCCCGGGAAAGCTGGGTGCTTAAAATCCCACAAGAATACCATTCAGACTGTTGCAGGGGTGCATTCTTGCAGGATTTGAAGAGCTTATTTTACCTGAAGGTAAATGTGAGATATAGTGACATCAACTGCTCCCCCAAAAACATCCGAAACTAGGCTGTGGGTGCATTTATTTGTTAAAGGTTTTATTTTAGGCATGTCTAAAGCCAAAACATTTTTTTTTCTTGGATAAAACAGGAAGGCTAATAAATCCCAGGCAGCTTTTTGCTGGCTGTGCTCCCTTTTGGGAGACATTTCCTCACGTTCTGTCTTGAAAAAACAATTGAAGGGTTATCTTTCCACAACCTCTTTTAGACAGGTGTCCCTGTATCCCCTTGGAATGATTTCCCTCTATTTCTGTTCCAATGGCTATTCAAATTTTTTAGATTTTAATCCCTGTAAGTCCTGGTGAAAAGATCATCAGTACAAATAGAGAGAAGTTCCCAAGTGGGAACACATACAATTCAAACCTGACTAAGGTTCTAACTTTTCCCTACCTTATCCAAGAAGAGACAAAATTTGTGTTTAGACAGACTTTAAAGCCTAAGTTCAATAAAAAAAAAAACCAAAAAAAAAAAAAACCACAGCATAGGGGCCTGTGCTTCGGGGGTTAATACAAGCTGAAAGACCTGAGGGAAAAGGTGGGCATAATCAGCACTCGACAAGTGCATATGACGACCTGTTGGCTTCCATTAACCCCCGCAGTACTGGAAGATTACAGCTCTGGGGTTAAGGAAGGGGGTCAGACGACAAAGGATTTCATCGAAAACTGCAGGCAGCAGCAAAAGGGACACTTTAAACGCACTGTAAGTAGTCCCTTGTGTTGATGTTTTTTTTTTTTTTTTTTTTTTTTAAAAGGACAAATGGAAAAAAAAGGGAGTAATTCATCCTAATGACCATAAATGTAAGGAGGATTCTTCTCACTGACCATCACACTAATGTAGCATAAGTTGTAGATATAGTAATTTTTAGCAGAGCTTTCCTGAGACCGGAAATTTATTCCTCCGTGCTAAAAAGGTTAAGAAAGGCTGCCATGAATATTTACCCCATAATATCAACAAAGCCTTTCAACCAAAATAATATTTTACATGTGTAATTTTTATATATTTTTAAAATGGGTAAACTCAAGGTTTTTTAACCACTTTTGACTTTTTACGGTGATGCACACAGAAGAAAGTTATCTGTTTATCTACGTTTTAGAGTAAAATACAAAAAGGATCAAGTCGTGTTTCTACAGACATAAATTAACTACACTTTACAACTTTGTGAGCATCGAGTACAGCTTAATTAAAAATGTTTATAATTGCAAAGCAAATGGAAGTGTCAGCTACAGCAATGTTTTGGGGAACTGGGGATTAATGGGGAGAGATGGTTTTGTTTATAGGCTTTTTTTTTTTTGTATGCACTTCATAAGAGGGATCAGGTTAGCAGAAAAGACCCAGCAACACCTTCAGTTGGCCTATGAAGCATTTTATGATAGCAGCAACAAAATACCACTAGTGATCATTGAAGAAATCTTTTGCAGCAGATACTGTGTTCATTGTTGCTGGACTGCTAGAAAATGCTGTCATCACAGATTATCTCACAGCAGTTCCCTTTAAATACAATGTGACAGCATGGTGTTAAATTTTCTTGCTAGGGGGCTGTTTTACTGAGAATTCAGTAGCAGGATTACAAGCCCAGCACTGTTTTAAAAGAGTGCCTAGAACTCATATGATTAAATATAATAGCTGTGATCCTACTGCATGAGGAAGTGATTTGCGTACATCATTTTAGCAGTGTGAAAAAAAAATGTCATGTCATGACACTAAACATACTGAACTATACATTTAAGGTTTATGTATACTTTGCCTTTTTGCAAGCTTGGTATTTACTTTTGCAAGTTTTTTAAACACACAAATTTAAATCTAGATGTACGTATTTAACCACTTGCCCTCCAGAGGATTTACCCCCCCTTCCTGACCAGGCCATTTTTTGCGTTACAGCGCTGCGTTACTTTAACTGACAATTGTGCGGTCATGCAACGTTGCACCCAAATTAAATTTACGGCCTTTTTCCCCACAAATAGAGCTTTCATTCGGTAGTATTTGGTTACCTGAGTGGTTTTTATTTTTTGTGCTATATAAAAAAATAAATAAATAAAATAAATAAAATTTCGGCCTAAACTTAGGGAAAAATATATTCTGCTACATGTCTTTGCTAAAAAAAAAAAAAAAAATCACAATACGTGTAAATTAATTGATTTACATGAAAGTTATAGCGTTTACAAATGGCGGTATATATACTGGGATTTTTATTTTTACTAGTAATGGTGGTGATCAGTAACTTATAGAGGGATTGTGGCTGGCATTCTGACACTGGGGGGAACTGACATCCCCAGTGACACCAATACAGTGCTCAGTGCTAATAAAAAAAGCACTGACATTGTACTAATGGCACTGGAGAGGAAGGGTTAACATGTGGGGTGATCAAAGGGGTTAACTGTGGGTTGTTTTACTGTGGGCTGTGTGTGTGCTTTCAAATGTAAGCACACTGCTTTGCATGGCTCTGCAAAGCAGTGTGCAGGAGCTGACAGGGGAGAGAACTGTATTGTTTACATACAGTTCTCTACCTCCGTCGGTAATACTCTGCAATCACCGGGTGCCGGTGAGTAATAACCAGCAGGGACCCAGTGATTGACAGCCAAGGCCATGAGTAGCAGCACAGGTAGGGCGTGCAACGGTTCGCGTGAACCCCCTACACAGAAATATGAAATCACGTATATATACATGATTTTACGCACCCCTGCCGCCCCGTAGGAGTGTATCTGCTATAGGATGGCGGTAAAGCGGTTAAAGAAGTATAGGGAGTGAAAAAAAGAATTTTGACATACTTGTAAATTCCATACCTCACAGTACAGGACACAGGTGTAGTATTCATAGACTATAGGTTATAGGCTTGTACCTACCTTCAGGTGATTGGACAAAACTCTTGGAGGACAGGTGATGCAAGTGCCCTCTCCCCAAACAATGCAGTATAACCAAGGAATAGAGGAGCAGGTGTCCTGTACTGTACTCCAAGATATGGAATTTATAGGCAAGTCAAAATTCTTATCTTAATTGGATAGTACACACACGTCCCAAAGCAATTACTTTATGGGGTGGGTAAACCACAGGCAATTGTGCAACAGGTCCCCACATATATGGGTTGACTAATTCAATCTCAAATGCTAAGTAATCATTGTAACTGGAGCTACGCTACTGCTGTCTCGAATGAATATATCATGGTGTTGATGGAAGGAAGACCGAAAGTCACAGGGAAGAACCTGAGAGGGAGAATTCCTCCAGGCCGTCCTTTGGGGTGAGTTACTTGAGAGGAAGCCCTGATAAAAAGGCTTTTGCCTATATGATGGGAAAAGGGGAACCCCCTGTAAGAAGGATACACTTGTAAGAGTGCTATACCATTCTCAAGGGGAATGGAAGGAGTTCCATTTATGGGTGTGCCTGAGAAGTCAAGAATGTCTCAGACATTAGGGTTTCCCGGAGAGTGATCAAAAATACCCACCACGGCATGATTGAAAATTTCTGTGGTTGTGCTTTGTTGTAGAGACCTGCAGAGTGAGGCTTAAAGTATAAACCAAATGGTGAAGGGAGATAAGATTAGATGTGAAGCTGAAGGACCTACTCTGTACAACTTCATTCTGGAAACCTCTATTTTGTACACCTAGATGAAAAAGGCAGGGACAGCTTAGGTCCTATAAAAAAAAAAAAAAAAAAAAAAGGTGTAAGGTGCCAATCTGGAGCAAACCAGTAAGGAGTACAGCCAGAAGACAATGTGTTACAGAGTACACTGTGAGGATAACTGAAAAAGAGGCACACCGTGTGTCTGCACAGTGTCCTGTAACCCCCCCACAAGCAGAAAAAAGAAATGCATGGTCACATGTCATAACTTTGTAACCTTGTAAGAAAGAATTTCTGAAACTAATCAAAATCAGCTTTGGTGCCTACACCAGAGGTGTAAAGAAAGGGTAGAAGGAGACCTTGCAACAGTGGGGTAGGAATAATGCTCCATAGATAATCTAGATCTTCATAACCTAGGGTAATGATCAAGAATAAACTTGGGTTGAGGCCTGTCTGAAAACTATTTCTGGCCTTCAATATCAAAAACGTATGGCTCCATATGTTGGATTGACAATGGGTCCATACATTTCCTTGAGCCTGATGTGACATAGATTAAACTGTGCCAGGAGACGAGATACATATCCCTTACCTTATGCAAAAATAGATATGTTTAAGCCATTCTGTAACTTGTGCCATAGATAGATATTTTTGGGCAGTGTCCTATATAAAAAAAAAAACCCTAAAAAAGGCCTAAGTGAAGTGAAGGCATAACTGCAATGAAAACCCTTCATTATTGAAGGTGATAAAGAATTTAAAGTGCAAACCTAAAAAAAATCTAAATTTATTAAATATATCCCTTTCTGTATTTTATATGTGCCTTTGTGTTTTGTGTGTCGTTCTTCTCTGAATTATCTGGTTGATCCTGTTTTTAATTAACCTTTGATGCATTTTATGATAGCAGCAACAAAATAGCACAAGTGATCATTATAGAGATCTTTTGCAGCAGATACTGTATATACATTGTTGCTGGACTTCTAGAAAATGCTGTCATCACAATTATCTCACAGCAGTTCCCTTTAAATACAATGAGACAGCATGGTGTTAAACCGTCCATGCTAAGGAGCTTTCTTACTGAGAATTCAGTGCCATCCAGTGCACAAGAAAAAAAAAAAAAGCAGCAGATCTGCATTTTTCTGTGCTGCACCACACATTACACCATTATTTTGGTGTGAACGTGGCAGATAGAAAACAATAGTTTTCTATGTGCCCTTGTAGTGACTGATGTTTATTTAGTGCAGAAAAATATATATACATACTGTGAATGAGCCATAATTATAAATAAACACAGAGACAGAAGAGTAACCACATTTTTTTCCATTTATATTGTCCTTTTTGAAACATTTTTTGGGTACATGTACGAACATGTAAAGTGTATGAATACTAATGAAATCTCAATTGTTGATGATCACTGGGTCATCATTTAATTGCATAAAAAGAATGGACAACTGACTATTTTACAGCTACCTTTTGATAAACAAAGAAATTCTCTTTACTGTGTTATGAAGGCCATAGACGGGTCGAACATTGGCTGATTTTTCGAAAAAAAAAAAAAAAACAAAAACGAAAATCGGTCGTTTGTTCGGCTGATGTTACCACCAACGGTAAAAAAAAAAAATCGGCCTACAAAATCATAAAGTGCACCCCATAACTTCTGTCCCATGCAGGTCATGGATCGGTAAAACGATCAGCCGATTTGCCCATCATTGCCGGGGAAATGGCCGATCGTCAAAATCGGTCGCAAATTTTCCAACATGACCGATAAAAAAAACTGCAAAAAACGGCTGACCAATTAACCCACTAACAGTGCAAAAATCGGCCAATTTTATTTTCGATGAAAAAAATCTGACAATTTTTGACCCATCTATGGCCGGCATTACTCTATAAAATGTACCTCACCTCAATCACAGCGCCAATGCCAGCAGGGATCAAAACCAGCAAGCTGGTTTGTTCATCCAGTAAGAAGAGGAAGATTACCACAGTGCTAAAACAACGCCACAACACTGAAAAAAAAAAAAAAATAAAACAAAATGATAATAATCACAAAGAAATACAGCATACAGTGATCTGCAAGTCCTATAAACAAATGAATACTGTATGTATACAATCGGTTTACATGCATTTTTTCTACATTATGAGAAAAACATTGAATTATGAATCAGAAACTGAAGTATGAAAATTTAATTGATAGTAGGGATTTTTGGTAAACAACTTTTTTTTTTTTAAACTAAAGATACTTTGAGATATTAGGCCAATAGAATTATGACCAAGCCACAGTAACCTTCACACACCGACTGACACATTGGGCCTGCAGAAGTGATGAACAAGCCACAGTAAATTTCACACAGTGATCTGAGGCTGAAAAACAGAATAAAAAAATCACGGTCCCAAAATAATTTTCATTTAGAAGTGACTTTCTAAAGGCTAAGAATACACTTTTCAAGTTAAAATGAAAATCTTCTTTAAGAGCTTCGTTCCTCCTTCACTAGGAAAGAACAAATAAAATAATTCCCTCAGTGCAATGGAGGGCAATTGGCATTATCCTTTCCCTGCTAACCTGACATGATGGACTGTTGACATTTCTTCTAAAGATAATTCACAAGAAAGCCCAAGCAGAAGACAAGCAGACTAAGGACATGGATTACTGGAACCATGTCCTGTGGTCTGAGACCAAGATAAACTTATTTGGTTCAGATGCTGTCAAGCGTGTGTGGCGGCAATTAGGTGAGGAGTACAAAGACAAGTGTGTGGTGCATGGTGGTGGGAGTGTCATGGTCTGGGGCTGCAGAGTGCTGCCGGCACTGGGGAGCTACAGTTCATTGAGGGAACAATGAATGCCAACATGTACTGCGATATACTGAAGCAGAGCATGATCCCATCTCTTCGGAGACTGGGCCGCATTCCAACATAACGACCCCAAACACACCTCCAAGACGACCACTGCCTTGCTAAAGAAGCTGACGGTAAAAAGGTGATGGACTAACCAAGCATGTATCCAGACCTAAACCCTATTGAGCATCTGTGGGGCATCCTCAAATGGAAGGTGGAGGAGCGCAAGGTCTCTAACATCCAGCAGCTCTGTGATGTCGTCATGGAGGAGTGGAAGAGGACTCCAGTGGCAACCTGTGAAGTTCTGGTGAACTCCATGCTCAAGAGGGTTAAGGCAGTGCTGGAAAATAATGGTGGCCACACAAAATATTGACACATTGGGCCCAATTTGGACATTTTCACTTAGGGGTGTACTCACTTTTGTTGCCAGCGGTTTAGACGTTAATGGCTGTGTGTTATTTTGAGGGGACAGCAAATTTACACTGTTATACAAGCTGTACACTGACTACTTTACATTGTAGCAAAGTGTCATTTCTTCAGTGTTGTCACATGAAACGATATAATAAAATATTTACAAAAATGTGAGGGGTGTACTCACTTCTGTGAGATACTGTATATCTTTCATTTTTCTTTAGCCAACTTGTTGTACTAGCCTTATATCTCCAGCTAAACCGTTTAGTCTGATAACAGTTATGGTTAGCTCAGGAGTTGATATGAAATAATTTTAACTGCAGTGTACATTATTTTCATTTCAATTCTCTGGGGGAAATTCTATTTTAAACATCCCTGAAGCTAATTTTAGCTTCTGGTCAATGGTTTTGTGTGTGTATATATATATATATATATATATATATATATATATATATATATATATAAAACAAAAAGTCAACTTAGTGCAACAATTGATCTTGACCTTAGATAGATTTGAAGATGATTGGATTGGCCTGTGTATGTTATTCCAAAACAATTCATGCCAAGGTACACGTTGAGCTTTGAATATCTGGTTGTAGAGAGATGACATGGTCAATTTGTATAACTGTTGTCATATGCTGCCGAGTTATTGAAAGTTTCCTAGACAGCTGATTTCAATTCATTAATATTTGAAAGTAATTGCTGGTTCGAATTTCTAACCATTATTTTGGATTAGATCATTGTTGTTTTGAATTGTTTATTATTTATCATCACCTATTATATTTCATTACCATTTTGCACTGAATGTTATTATTAATATATATTGTTATAGATTATTGCGCCTTCAAATTCGCGCAAATAAAGAATGCTGATTATCAGTTGATTTGTGCAAATTAGTAGGGAATCTCCTTAATTCCAAATCCCAGCATGTTTTCATAAATTGTATACTGATTTTTTTTCTCAAAAGTTCTGACAACAGGGCTGACATCTATGGACCTCAGTGGCCACCTACGCACTCCACAATATTCTCCACCAGGGAGCAAGCAACCGGAGGATCCATGGGTGGTACTGCAGGATGGCAATGATCACTTGTTTTTAATATATACAGCTTTGCCTGGTGATAAATGATCTTTGAACTAAATGTTATATCCTTCAATAGTATTCTATCTCTGAAATGCGCTGGATGAATGGAGATACATCACAAGCCTGTTTCAACCATTGAGAACTTTTTGTATTATATTTTTTCACAAATTGTGGTGAAAGCCGTCCTTGGTTTTATGAATCTTTTGTATAATAAAATGTTAAAAACTTTATTTAATACTTGGAGTGTAGTGCCTTTAAAGTCCCATATTGGGGATAAAGATTTTGTAGCTCAGTGCAATGGAAGACATATCTTCCTGTCTAAATATGGTCTTAAAAATAAGAATGCTTACACTTTTATAGTAAGAGTTATGAGAAGAATGGAATGATGTTTCATATTGTTATCTACAAAGAAAATCAGAGGTGTTTTTCGTTAGATACATCCCCTTCAGGCATATTAGCTGCTTAGTATCTTGCTATAGCTTAAAATAGTGATTTCCACTTAATGGGCTTGTAGTGGCCTCATATATCCCAGGAGAGGAATTTAAGAATAGGGGATGTTCCTATAAGACAGGAACCATCTAGAATTAGATGCAGAGACAGGTGTTGAAATATGGTACTGCTCCGGTGCAAGGAAAACCATTGTCACTCTGTCCATTGTAACAAAATTGACTAGTTTGAATGTTTTGCAACCCTTCAGAAGAGCAAGTGTTTGCCTGAGTTTCTGCCAAGGTTACTCTGCGCCTGGTTTCAGCTACTGCTATCACTGAGTGTTCCCCTATGGGGTACTCATGAACTAGGGTGTGGAAATGGGGTAAGCATGTCTACAGAGGGATAGACAGCAACCCAGGTGTCAACCATCCTGCAGCAAAGTACTCAGTGCAAAATAGTGGGAGGGAGTGGTTGTATTAGTGCATTCAGTGTGTGATGCAACACCTAGTAAGCCACCTGAGACTCTGTATGGTGGAACTTGTATCGCAAAGTTTAAAAGTTTAAATACCTGATAAGTGACATTCACTGATTCCCAATGGTTTTACATAAAAACAAATACTACTTAGGAGACACTTGCAAGAAATGGAGCTGATGACCCACATACTTTATGTAAAGCTACAGTATCGGTCTGATAAGACCAACCTGTCTAACCTTTTCATGTAGCTGGTCCCTGTATGGGTCCAGGTATCGTCCGTCATGGGTGGGTATACCCTTGAGGAAAAAAAAGGAAAAAAAAAAAAAAAAAAAAAAAAGGAGTTCCAGGCGCTAAATCCTCAAAGCTGTTGAAAGCCAAACAATCCTCAGCTGCTGATGCCACACTAGAAACAGTGATAAAAGAAGTCCAAAGAAACAACACTCAAGGACTTGGGCTTGTTATTATAATGACCAAGCAATTAGCTCCAATAAACGATATTGATTTATTCCAGCAAAAGAACAATATTGTCATCCAGTGTCAACCTCCCAATGGTGGCCGCGGTGGAATACCCGCTCACCTTAGGCCGCACAAGCCCCCAAGCCAGAGTAGAAGATGTGTGCAGAGCTAGTCCCTTGACAGGTAAAAGCAAGTTGACAGGAACGGGGACCGTGGCCTACCAGAATGGACGTCACTGGCCTCGGAAGGAAGCAAAAGTCGTCCACTAAGGATCAGGCTGAACCACAAGCATCTAGTTGCCACGACAACACGTTTCACGTGCATGCGCTTTGTTAAGTCTAGGATAACTGTGGCAACTAGCTGTCTTATATAAGGGGGCCGATCTAATGGGCAGGCAAGGGGGCAGAGCTTGATCGTGACATTCCACCACTGCCTTTATAACAGATCCTTCAACAAATAACCTTAGACAAATTAAAATACCAACTTATGTAGTTAGATAATTAAATCTCCCTGAATGAATATGTACACAATCATATATTAAATCAAAAACATATAAAACCGAATGTATACATGTACAAACATCACAATTAATACATATATCTTATTGATCGGCATTGTGTACATCTTTATGCTATAAGGTATCTTATGATGGGGGTTATCCCTAGGTCAATAAGATATACAGTTAGGTTCATATATATTTGGACACAGGTACAATTTTAGTTTTTTTCAGATATTTACCAAAACACTTTCAAGCTGTAGTTATATAATGGATATGGGCTGAAAGTGCACACTCTGGTTTAATCTGAGGGTATGTACTTCCAAACTGAAGGAAGGGTTTAGGAATTACAGCTCTTAAGAGTAGCCACCCCCCCTTTTTCAAGGGACCAACAGTAATTGGACAGTTGAATCAAAAGGTGTTTCATGGCCAGGTGTGGGCTACTTTTTCACATTATTTCTTCATCAATTAAGCAGGTAAAAGGTCTGGAGTTGATTCTAAGTGTAGTATTTGCATTTGGAATCTATTGCTGTGAACCAACATTATGCATTCAAAGGAGCTGTCCATGCAAGTGAAACAGACCATTGTAAGGATTCAAAAACAAAACAAATCCATCAGAGAGATAGCAGCAACATTAGGAGTGGCCAAATAAACAGTTTGGTACATTCTGAGGAAAGAACAACGCACGGGTGAGCTCAGCAACCTAAAAAGGCATCGACGCCCACGGAAGACAACAGTGGTGGATGTTCGCAGGATCCTCTATATGGTAAAAAAAAAACCCATTCACAGCATCCAGACAAGTGAAGGACACTCTCCAGGAGGAGGGTGTATCATTGTTAAAGTCTACAATCAAGAGAAGAGTTCACAAGAGCAAATACAGAGGGTTCACAACAAGGTGCAAACCATTCATAAGCCTGAAGAATAGAAAAGCCAGATTAGACTTTGCCAAAAAAAAAACCATCTAAAAAAGCCAGATCAGTTCTGGAAAAGCATTCTTTGGACGGATGAAAGATTAATCTGTACCAGAACGAGGGGAAGAAAAAAGTGTGGAGAAGGCTTGGAACAGCTCATGATCCAAAGCACACAACATCATCTCTAAAACATGGTGGAGGCAGTTTATTGGTATGGACATGCATGACGTCCAGTGGCACTGGGTCATTGGTGTTTATTGATGATGTGACAGAAGGCAGAAGCAGGCGGATGAATTCTGCAGTGTTTAGAGATATACTGTCATACGGCGCTTCACAGTACAGATGGACAATGATCCAAAACACACTGGAAAAGCAACCCAGGAGCTTTTGAAGGAAAAGAAGTGGAATATTTTGCAATGGCCGAGTCAATCACCTGATCTCAACCCTATTGAGCATGCATTTCACTTGTTGAAGGCAAAACTAAAGGCAGAAAGACCCACAAACACAGAACAACTGAAGCCAGCTGCAGTTAGAGCCTGGCAAAGCATCAGAAAGGAGGAAGCCCAGTCTTTTTAGTAATGTCCATGGGTTCCAGACTTCAGACAGTCATTGCCAGTAAAGGATTCTCAAGAAAATATTACAAATGAACATCTTATTTATGATTAAATTAATTTGTCCAATTTATTTTGGTCCTTTAAAAAGGGGGGATGGCTACTTTTAAAAGCTATAATTCCTAAACCCTTCCTCCAATTTGGACGTACATCAAATTAAACCTGAGAGTGTGCACTTTCAGTTCATATCCATTATATAACTATAGCATGAATATGTTTTGGTAAATACCTGAAAAAAACTAAAATTGTGCCTGTGTCCAAATACATATGGACCTAACTGTATGTATAAAATTTAGATGAGGAATTATACTCTACCTCTACCTATATAGCTCTCATCAGGCTGGCATACTTAGTTAGTATGAATTGAATTTAGTTAGTTAGTATTGAATTGAATTGAAATAGAAAATTGCAATACTGATTATCCTCATAGTCTCCAACCAACATGTACACAATGGATCCAGCAGGTCAATGCTGTTCTCATTTGAGAAAAAAAAAAAAAACACTTATCACATTTCCCTTACTAGATTGCTACAGCTCTATTTGGTTAACCATAGGGTGGGATCTTGATTTAGTTTTAGAGACTTTGTGGCAATTGATACATGCAGTGTTTGAAATGAGCAAATAGGCATATCTCATTAGATCTCTGATATGCTTTCTAAGAGGGTAGTATTCACTCTAGGATGCGATTTTATTTTGTTTTCTTGTTAATACACAATTTTTTTTGCATGGATAACTGTTCGGGTGTGCTGACCACAAGACAATATCTGATAAGAGCTCTACAGATATATTGTATTGTTCTCTGTTAATGGGGCTTGTACACCAATTGTCTGGACTGTGTGATATTTTTTGTTCAATAAAATCTTACATGAATAAAGCGCCAAAACAAATTAAGCAGCAAACTTTTTGGCATATACTTTAAATAAACACTATACTGCCAAAAGTATTGGGACACATTTCCAAATCATTGGATTCAGGTGTTCCAATCACTTCCATGGCCACAGACATATAAAATCTAGTAACTAGGCATGCAGACTGCTTTTACCAACATTTGTGAAAGAATGGGTTGCTCTCAGGAGCTCAGTGAATTCAAGCGTGGTACCATGTGATAGGTTGCCACCTGTATAGTAAGTCCATCCGTGAAATTTCCTTGCTGCTAAATATTCCACAGTTCACGGTTAGTGGTATTAAAACAATGTTGAAGCAACTGAGAACAGCAGCAACTCAGCCACTAAGTGGTAGGCCACGTAAAATGACAGAGCGGGGTCAGCGCATGCTGAAGGGCAGAGTGCGCAGAAATCGCCGACTGTTTGCAGAGTCAATAGCTAAAGACCTCCAAACTTTGTGTGGCCTTCAGATTAGCACAACAGTGCTTAGAGAACTTCATGGAATGGGTTTCCATGGCCGAGCAGCTGCATCCAAGCCTTACATCACCAAGTGCAATGCAAAGCGTTGGATGCAGAGGTGTAAAGCACACTGCCACTGGTCTCTAGAGCAGTGGAGACATGTTCTCTGGAGTGACGAATCACGCTTCTCTGTCTGGCAATTCGATGGACGTGTCTGGGTTTGGCGATTGCCAGAAGAATAGTACTTGCATTGACTGCATAGTACCAAGTGTAAAATTTAGCAGAGAGGGATTATGGTGTGGGGTTGTTTTTCAGGGGTTGGGCTTGGCCCTCTAGTTCCAGTGAAGGGAACTCTTAAGGCTTCAGCATACCAAGAGATTTTGGACAATTTCATGCTCCCAACCTTGTGGGAACATTTTGGGGATGGCCCCTTCCTGTTCCAACATGACTGCGTACCAGTGCACAAAGCAAAGTCCATAAAGACATGGATGAGCGAGTTTGAGTGGAGGAACTTGACTGGCCGGCACAGAGTCCCAACCTCAACCCGACAGAACACCTTTGGGAAGGATTAGAGTGGAGGTTGCAAGCCAGACCTTCTCGTCCAACATCAGTGCCTGACTTCACAAATGCGCTTCTGGAAGAATGGTCCAACATTCCCATAGACACCCTCCTAAACCTTGTGAGCAGCCTTCCCAGAAGAGCTGGAGCTGTTATAGTTGCAAAGGATTGGCCAATTCAATATTGAACCCTACAGACTAAGACTGGAATGCCATTAAAGTTTATGTGCGTGTAAAGGCAGGCGTACCAATACTTTTGGCAATATAGTGTATATTGATATAAAGGAAACTGTAAACTGCATACCTGCTTTTGTTGACATCCCAACCATATTTTTCTTCTTCTTCCAGAAACTGATGTCATTTTTAAATGCAAGAAAATCAAACAAGAGCTGAAAATAGAAAAATACATTACAGGTGTCAATATGAATCAAACAAATAGACTTTATCAAACGTTTCCCAACTTTTCCTTGAGCTTATGTTGCACCGGAGTTAAAATCGATTGTGTGCGCATATATACACAAACACCTGACTGTATAACTGAAAATTAGGTAAATTACCTTTTAGGGCCAGTTCACACTACGTGTTTCAATGTGCTTTTTTTCTGCATCCTAACTGCACAGAAAGTATGCTATATGGTTGTCAATGTCATAGTTTACATCAGTGCTTGCACTTTCCAGTGCGTTCTGGTTGCAGAAAAAAAAAAGTAGAACAGGCTGCATCTTTCCTGCACAGAACTAAACTGGAACGCACCAAAACCACACTGGTATGCACATGTCCCTATTTAAATTAAAGAAAAAGAGAGGGGAAAAAATGACTGAGAACGCATCAAAAACACAGCGGAAAAAATAAAAAATGCACCGAAATGCACCTAAAACGCACATGCAGAAATGCATCCGGAACGCATCTGGACTGCGCTTGGTGTGAACCAACCCTTAGAAGCCTCAGTAGCCACCAAATATGTATTTTCATTTACAGTACAAGTGACTAAACAATTTTGGGAAGTTTTATAGCAAGACAATATTTAGTGTTAATAAACTGCTATTTTATTTTTTCTTTTCATTCTTAATTCTTTTGATCCATAGGCATCAGCATACACTGTTACGGTTATAAGCCTGCATAGGTATATTATAGGTTAACATATAATATTAGTGTTGTATTAGACAAACAAATGAAGAAAACTGTGGATGTAAAGTTTTATATTTTCTACATATTGATACGAAAAAAGGTCATATGGCTATTCGTTACATATGTGCTTAGTGCACGGGAAGGGATTTGACAGAACGTTTTATAGAAGTTAGGCTGTAGATTATGATAGAGGAAGGGGTGTAGAGGAGAAAAAAAAATTATAGATGGGAGGAGCCTCTTCTAGGATTGCAGTAGTCCCAAACAGGGCTATAGCATAATGGTTGCAGTAAGGGGACTTATATGTAGTAAAGGGTTAAGCATGGTATCTTCTTCCCATAATCTTGTGTATTTTGTGAAATGTTGAAATTGTATCCAATAAAATCATGTTTCCCTGAATTGTTCAGATTCTTGCCTGAGGGAGGCAATTAGGTCCTAAATTAGCATCACTTCATTTATTCATGCAAAACATCATATTGGCATTGGGTGGGAGTGTCCGTTTACATACGCTCAGTATACAGGTTTTTTCTACATTCAAAAGAGGTCTCTGAAATGTATTCTGGTTTCTCCTCCTAGACATGTTTGTGACATGCAGGTTTTCATTTTTTTCTTGTAGAGATATGTGTCACAGTTTATAAATTATATCAATAATCCGACCGGTGAAGATAGATGTTTCCGGAACTGTGATCTACGTGGGGACGTCTTACACATTTGGTGGTCGTGCCCGCGATTGACAGGCTTCTGGTCTAGGGTTTTTGGTTTGCTACAAATGCTATTTCACATTACGGTCCGTAGGGATGCAAGGGTGGCTCTTCTGCACTGCCCAATTTTGGGTCTGTCTAGATCTCAGCAGAAATTGGCATCCTACCTATTTATTTTCGGCCAAATGTGCCATAGCTCAAGCTTGGAGAACCCCTTCGGTTGTCTTCCAAGGGGTGAAGACCCGGATGAATATGTTGATCAATGAACAGATGTCTAGCATTCTTCATGATTCTCATATGAGATTCCTTAAGGGTTGGGAACCTTGGATACGATATTCCTTGCCATCCCTACCCCCTACTAGTTATGGCCTCTTGTAGTTGCTGCCTGTACTAGCCCTGGATCCATGTTTCTCCTAGTCTCCCTTTCCTCTATATTTTCTTTCTGATCTTTTTTTTTTTTTTTTGTCATTTTTATTTTCTTTTTCCTTTCTTCTAACCTTTTTTCTTTCTTCTTTTCTTTAAGGTATTATGTTGTACTACTGCTGATAATATTTGGTTCGGTTTTTTGCCGTCCTCCCTTGCTGTCATTGGACATTTTGTTATTTGGCTAATACAAGTCAGCAGGATGTAACTGTTTGTGTTATTGTTATGCTCGGCCCCTGCGTGGGCGTATATTGAGGTTGTTGTGTTCCTAAAACAATACTTTCTTAATAAAAAATATTGAAACAGAAATTATATCAATGACAAATAAAGCTAGGATCGGGCATCTTCCAAAGAGTAGCTGGTTCAATTTTGCATCTCTAGCATGTGTTGCTCTTCTGGAAGAAGAATGTAGACAGGATTTAGGGGGTAAGTATCACCTTGTTAATACTTTGTTTATCTCTTGACAATTTGTTACTGATAGACACTTTGGGGTGGATTTATTAAAATTGGTGCACTCAGAATCTGGTGCAGCTGTTCATGGTAGCCAGTCAGCTTCTAACTTCAGCTTGTTCATTTATGCTTTGGCAATAATATCCGACTGGTTTCTATGCAGACTTACACCAGATTTTTCACTCTCCAGTTTTAGTAAATATAATCCCCATGTTGTCAGTATAGAAAACATTCCTTTTGTTTTGTTTTAATAAAGAGAGATACAGGTCTCTCTCATTTTTAAAGGAAAGGTGATGCAGCGATCTAACTGATAAGGATTAATAGGAATAAGTTAAGGTGCCCCTAATGGGGTAATATTTCCAGGAATACCCCTGGTTCCTAACAACCGCAGAATCAGAGCCAACACCTTGGTACACACCCTTGGGACTGTGGACAAATTGAAAGGCAGCATCAAAAACTGATAGATGGCGATCCTCCAGTACTATACACAGAAACAGTTATTGCAGCTAGATAAACAAAGATGTGTAGGTAAACATCTTTGTTATCCACTGACACCAACCCTTGATAAAGTGAAGCAATCCCTGGCTGGGTGCGCTCTATCCTGAAATGTTGTATCTTCAGGAACCTGTTGAGACCTCGGAGGTCCAGAAAAGGCCAGATGTTTTCATTTGACTTGGGAAAAGTGAACAGGTTGGAATAGAAGCCGTGGCTTTTGGCACAAGTGTGAACACCCCCTGGTACAGCAGTCTTTCCAGGGCAATAAAGAAAACAGCTATTTGTTGTGGATCCAAATATAACCTTAAGCGCATAAAACACAGAGGTAGAAAGCTGCGAAACTCAAGCTTATAACCACTGGACACAATGCTGCAAATCCAGTCATCTCTAACTTCCGGAGTCCAGGCAGCTGCGAAAGCTTGTAAGATGTCGATCCACCTGAGTGGGAGTGCCCCTTCACAGTGAAGATTTGCTTATAGAACCACAGGACTTCAGGGGTCCAGTTCTTCTAACGAAACTGGGATGTGGGCTTCTGCTTTGAGCTGGTTTACAAAAAGGACCCTTCTTGGGGAGAGTGTGCTTTTCCTCACAGTCATCTTCTGGATGTGAGCATTCAAGGATGGTCCAAACAAGCTTTCATCCTCAATGGGCAGCCTTTTAATGTCGGCTTGCAGAGAAGTTCTGCTGAGCAACATTTGAGCCATAGGATCCTTCACATATGGGCAGATATGATGCCCATTTGTGAGTGTTTCCTGATGGAATCTTCCAAGGCACCCACTGAAAATTCCAGGTTCTATGAAAGTCTTTTCAGGAGCTGCTAAATGGCATGATCTTCTGGATCACATGCTTTGCCCAGACTTTAAGGGGTTGACAAACTCCCACTGCACCTACCACAGGATGCAGAGCCACTACCACCAGAAAGGACATGTTAAGAGGGCATCTAACCTAACCTCTTATCTGTGGTATCTTTAAAAACTGGGAAAATATTCACTGGAACCAGAGACTTATTTAAATAGGAAACAGCCAGGTTGAATGCCTGAGAGCCCAATTTCTAGCAGAATTCCTCCCCCATAGGTTACAGGTAATAAAACCTTCTCCAGGTGAGCCCAACTGGCATACATCACTTTTTGTAAGTGAGGGTGCACTGACAAGGACTTAGGAATTTTTAGCAACAGTAACTTAAGGTTAGCTCATACCATATTTGCCAGCAAGCAAGCCCAGTATAGTCTTCTGTCTTTGAAACAGCCTTGGACCCCAAGATTCAGCCTGGTATGACTCATTCACAGAGCATTCCAAATCCTCAAATGCTTCCACATCCTTTTCATCTTGAGGAATTTCCTCCGACACTTCATCCTCCCTCAAAGAGAGAGTATGGAAAGGAGAGCAGGCACACCTGTATCCCAGGTGTTCCAAACCTGAGAGAGCCCCTGAGAGCTGATCACACAGTCCAGATAAGGCTGCAGAAAGTGCCTACCTTAACATAAAGGAAGTGGTGAACTGTGCCCGTGAAACAGAGGAAACCCCAGATGAGGGCAGAGATTCTGAACTAACCTGATCTTCAGGGGATCCCTTGCAGCACAAACTTTACATCTTCAGAATAGGATCCAGAATCTTTACAGGGTTAGATAAAATAGGCTTAAAATGGGGTAGGTTTAGCCTTAGTTAGATGCACCTGGAATTCTACTTTAATTGGAAAACAATCAACAGTCTTGATTCTGTGAGATTATTGTGAACTAGAAAAACAAGATATTTATCCTCCTAAAGGCAAAGACACTTCCCCTACCAGCAAGTTATGAGTCTCACCAATAGTACTTAAAAGGTTGTTTATTGTTCTAAGAAAAATAAAAACCACCGTAAAGGTCCAATTCCAACAGGTAAAAAAGTGTGAGAAAACCACAAACATCCAAAATATAAAGTGAAGTCTCACTTACCTACTGCCTGTAGTCACAAACACTGTCAAGGTACCTGATGCCAAGAGCACAGCAGTGCATAAGAGATACCTACAGAAGAATTTGGGCTTGCACCCCTGTGATGGAGCTTGGAACTAAACATGGCCAGACAAAAGCCTGCTTTCCCCCTTCTCTGGGGGCCAAATGTTCTTTGGGCCATAACTAAAGGCCCAACACCAGTCTCCAGGCACGTCCCTATCAGGAAGGATGCCAGGCAATGCCAGTCAAGGAATCACAGAGCTAAACACAGGACTGACCCAGGGGACCTGCAACTCCCCAAGAGGCTGAGCCTGGGGAGGTCCTAGATCCCAAGTTCATGAAGCCCAAGGATGGAGCCCCAGACTGTACCCTCACCAGTCAAGAAGGTGGTCCAGGTGGCATAAATCATAAAGAGAGGGCTTTACCATTCAAAACTATGGAGGCAAGCAGCCAAAATAAAAAAAGATTGGAGGGAAGAGCCAAAAAAAAGCTTCTTAACTTCATCCAGCCGGAGTTACAGCAGAATGTTTCCTATTTAAAAGAAGAAAGGAAATACTGACTAGTTCAGCAGAGAGACTTCCTTTTAACATTTTTTTTTGGTGATGTATTTACGGATCCTGTTGGAGACCAAGCCTATTTCTCATATATTGTCCTGGAAGACGATTTGGGAAATCTATATAGATGTTATTTCTAAGACTTCTCTTCCCATTATACTAAGTTTTTGTTGTTAGAGTAGTATTGCTTATACACTAATGATGCATAATATAACTTAGTTAAAAAATTTCTATAGGAGTATTGCAAAAATACTTTTGTAATGAATTTAAACTTACATGAAAAGCAGCTACAAAGAAAGTGAGGGCTAAAAAATAAAGATTGGTATCCACGAAAATCCCCTTTACTTCATCTGCATCTTTTTCTGAAAAACCTGCAAAGAACAACATTCCATCATCTGCAGTTCAATTTCTCCAGCACAAGTACACAGGAAGAAACACAGCAATAATAACAGAAAAAATTGGGATAATGCACTTACCATAAAATCCCTCTATTGAAGTCCACTGAGGGACACAGTGTTTCACATTCATGAACTGGTAATTATACTGCCGTCTACCAGAGAATTAAACACTATGGACACTGGGCCAAAAAAAAAACAAAAAACTGAAGGCCAGCAGCAGCTAGGAGCCAAAATCTCTCCTCTAGGAATTCTGATCAATTGTTGTAAAGCAGTACAAACACTGTACATAATGGCAATAACCAACATAAAAGGGGAAAGATCTCTGTCTCTCAATAGACTCCAAGAAAGGGATTTTATGGTACATACGAAAATCCTATTTTCTTTCTTGTCCATTGGGGATCACACTCACTATCAGTGGGACATTCCTAAGCTGCAGTGTGCAAGTTCAAAAATAATCACAGGCGAGACAAGAGCCCATCAAAAATCTGTGAGCCTAACAAGGCACTTTACAATCTAACATTGTAAAGTTGAGTCAGTCACATCCACATTACAGACCTGAGACACAGAAGCCTGGTGGCAAAAGACCCAAGACTGTCCTGGTGGTGCGAGTTCAGACAGGAAAGAGGGGAGCCTTCCCTATAAATTCATACATCCCAATAGTGTGGCAAATCCACCTAGAAATTAGTGGAGCTAGAACCTGGAGTTCATGGAAACCTGCCAACTGATGGTAAAGCTGAATGGAGCTGTGGCGTATACTGTATATATTGTAAATGTAAACAGTGCAGAATGGAGCTGTGGCGTATACTGTATATATTGTATATGTAAACAGTGCAGAATGGAGCTGTGGCGTATACTGTATATATTGTATATGTAAACAGTGCAGAATGGAGCTGTGGCGTATACTGTATATATTGTATATGTAAACAGTGCAGAATGGAGCTGTGGCGTATACTGTATATATTGTATATGTAAACAGTGCAGAGCATTCTCCTTGGGATATGAAGGAATCAGACGCAAAGAACACAACATAATGCCTTTGTTTAGCTGGAATACAGAGACAATCTTTAGTTAAAAAGATCTTTAACTCAGTGCAACCTAATCCCATGTAGCATTAAATAAGAGAGTAGCCAACCCAGAAACCCTCCTGGCCGAAGTAATGATCACAAGGAAGGCTACCCTGTGGCAAACATTAGACAAGGTTGCTGGTCAGCTTGAACTGAGGTTTCTGGAGGACTGACAAATCCACGTTCAGATTCCATGACTGAAATCTAGAGGAAGACCTGGACATCGAGAGGAGGAGAGGATGGCCTTCAGTTCTTAGGCCTAATGTCTAATTAATTCTCCGGTTGGCAGCAGTATAACTGTTCAAGAATATGAAATGATGAAATGGATAATAAGGAAATAATTGATAATAAAGTTTTATGTTGAACACATTTATTTTTGTAACCTTTACAGCGGCTGGCATCTCTGCTTTTACTAGTGATTCTGTTCTGTATCAATGAGGTGGACAAGAGTCATGGCTAGAATGTGGCAAACCAACCATCTTGTCTACATCGTGAATACACAAAGTGACTGATAAGGGCAGCGCTGCAAGTGGCTATAGTCAGGTAAGGATTATAGAGTGGAGCACTGATGCTTTCAGGTGTTACTTAACCCACAACAGTAAAATCAGTCTGTATATGCAGTACAGCATGCTTGTTATTCTCACTGTGGAATCTAAGAAGTTAATCCTCTGCATTGTGTAAAAACGCTGATTAATCCTGACATCTTTCTTCCGGTGTCCCCCTCTTATCTCCTGATAAGATATATCGTGTGGTGGAGTCACTCTGCACATGCTCAGTTTGGTGTATATTGCTAGAGAGGGTTTTTTTTTCCCCTTTTTCTTCTTGGGAGAGTGCATGTGATCAGCACAGGGCCAATCAACGCTGTCCAAACAGAGGTCAGGGGTCCTGCATCCTCCTTGAGCAAAATGAAAACTCCTACAAGTTTTAACCAGTGCTTGGCTGGCCACTGATAGAAATCACAACACTGCTCTAACTGCTGATGAGAAAAGATATTTAGCAGTTTACATTTACTAAAATAACTGCGTTTCCATGTTTTGTGTACTGTGGAAGACCAGATTTAGTGAATGCAGGGTCTGGGGTTTAGTAACACTTTCAGGGGCACATAATTACTTTTTTTTTTATGAAGGTCCAGCTAATCAATAAAAAGGCATGGATTTTATTATTTGGATACTAATTCCACTAACATGTAATTCACTGATTTTTAACAAGCATGTAGCCAAAGAGGTTTTAAAAGTCCATTAACCTGTTCATGTTCCAAGCTCAGAAGATAATGAAACCAAAAACAGATGAAGGCCCCTTTCAAACAGGCACTCCGTCTGTTTGTTTTTCATCCGTCTGTTGATGGATGAAAAATGGACAGCAATGCATTACTATGGGCAAATGGCTGAAAAACAGATGTAGTCCATTTCCATAATTTTTTTCGTCCTCTTCCATTCAGGTCTGTTTTTTAAACCGGAACAAGCCTGCATTTTTATTCAGTTAATCACGGAACAAACGAAAAACGGATGTAAACTGACAAACAGTTCATTTTTGCATTGGTAGTGGATGTAAAAAACGTATGTAAAAACTGAAGTACAACTACTAGAGCTCTGTACTATCAAGCAAATGGAATGGGGACAGTAGAAGGAGAGGATCTAAGAAGACAGGATCAAACAGCCTTTTTACATAATGCGGAGGATTAACCCCTTAGGATCAACAGGGAGTATAACAAGCATGCTTTACTGCATATACAGACTGATTTTACGGTTGTGGTTTTAGTGACACTTTAACATGATTTCCTATGGATCTAGTTCACATCTGTCAGTTTTGAGCCAATGTGTTTTTTTTCTAAAGGATCAGGAACTTTTTTCCCGTAGCAGATTAAAGTCTGTTGCACAAAAATGCAATCAAACCGCACCAAAAACACCAAAGTGTTGCGTTTTTTGTGTGTTTTCCATTTTTTTCCCAATAGGAAAGTATGACTGTTATGTTCATGTAGTGTGACTTTGATGCAACTTTACACTTTCTGACACTCAAGAAGCATCAAAGTAGCACCCATCCAAAGTTGCATCAAAGTCACACACCCATCCAAAGTCACATTACAGTCACATCAAAGTCAATACATTCCTAGTGGCAAAAAAAAAAAAAAGTGTCAAAAATACAAAACGCACCACAAAATGCAGCAGAAAAACGCATCAATTGCAACATGCAGAGGTGTGAACCTAGCCTTAAAGCCAAAAGGATGAACATTTCTAAAATCAAAAATGGTAATGCTTACTAAAGCGTGTCTACCTTTCATAAAGCGCAGCCTCTGGGACTCAAATCCCTGTATCGTATGTGTGTTAGCAGAAAGAGCCAGGCAGGGCTGGCCAAAGTATTTGCATATCCAGTTTTATAAGGTTTCTCCCTTCTATCTCTATGGTGGGAAGAGTTTTCTTCTTAACATACTAATTTCAGTGGTTAATAAAGATTTCTGATGTTCGGCGCATTACTTTCACATGCATATTTGTTAAACCAGTCATTTTACAAATGGATTAGACACAGTTAGACACAAATGGTTTCTTCACAGTGAGAGCTGTGGAAATAGACTCCCTCAAGAGTTGGTTCTGGTCAGCTCAGTGGATTGCTTTAAAAAAAAGCCCTGGATTTTTTCTCGGATACATAGAATATAACTGGATAACTGGATACTAACAAAGTAAAGGTAAAGTTGATCCAGGGAATATTGCCTCTCAGGGGATCAGAAAGCAATGTTTTCCCCTGCAGCAGCAAATTGTGTCATGCTTTGCTGGGTTTTTTTTGCCTTCCTCTGGATCACCTGTAGGTGTAGGATTATAACTTTTACTTTTTTTTTTTTAATGGTTGAACTGGATGGACTTTTGTCTTTATTCAGCCAGACTATTTAACTTCCTGAAAGGTTATCCAAAGGAATGTCTGCCACGCCACTGTGATTCCTGAAACCTATACTGAAAACATTTTAGTTACTGAACACATTTTGGTAGGTTCTGTATGCGGGTGCAATGCTCTGAAGGGCTCCAATGGAAAAAAAAAATAATTAAAGCAAATCTGTTATTTTTTTTGCACAAAGGTGGACTTCACCTTTAACACACATTAGATGCTGAAATCCCACCATAAAGGTAAAGGTAATACTTTATGCCAATTAAATTCCAATTATGCTACATTTGTACACCATTTTTTTCTCCAGATTTAGCCATATTGTCTTCTTTTATTTAGGATTAATAAAAAATGTGCTGTTCTTCTAGTCTGTGGTGGCACATACTGATTGGTGTGTTTTTGGGGAACACTCTCTCAATGTATTACTATAATCATTATTATATAAAGTCAAATAAAAGCCTTCAACAACAGAAACCATCCTAAATGTACATGTTCCACATATGTTGAACATATGTAAAGAAATGGCACTGGTACAACTAGGCAAACTTGAGGGACCTCTGAAGCGCTAAAGCCCTGTACATTTCCCAATTATTCCAACCCTTTTATGCCATCCTTACCTACCAACAAGTCAACACATATGGCATGTTAGTTATCTAGATACAGATATGCAAGTTAACTTACCAAACTGTTGTAAAGAGTAAACCGCATCTTGCATGTGAATCCAAAACCGAAGTTTACCCAATGATATTTTGTCATACGATACAGTCAGAGGAAGTTCTGTTGTAGAACGATTTATCATCTAGGATTAGAGAAAATATTACACTTTTTTAAATTTCAAATGACAAAAGGATTTTAGACCATAGATAAATGCAAAATCTTAAAGAATACATTTTAGTTTATTGTTTCCCTTGAAATTCTTATGCAAATAGTAAAACATATTTTAATCCGGAGACATAGTCCTTCTAGAGCAAGCAACTCTGATAAAGGTCGAACTGCTTTGCAATAAGGAGGAAGAGGCAGGTATGAAGCAAAGGCACCGTGGGTTGTGAATTGGGAAGTTACTATTCGTTCCACTGAGGGGGGAGAGGGGTTAGGAAGGAAAAAACACTCATGGTATAGTGAAGGATGTGTCAGCATTTGCTGCGTCAGCACATCTTTCCTGTAGTTCGCTTGGGGAGTGAGCATTTTGGTGGCTCCATGGAGGCATGGAGCTTGAAGTGCAGCAACCAATGATAAAGAAGTTAAGATAAACCATAATATTGGCTTTTTTATGTACCTGTGAAAAGAACAGTATAATGTTACCATAGTAACATTGTACTACTCTGGGGAACTGAACAGGATTTTTTCTCTCTTTCTTTTTGTTTACATTATGATTGCTTATAGCAGTGAATTTCGCTGCTATAAGCAAGCATTTTACTGAATGAAATCGATTCAGTTTGATTTGCTGTGATTGGCCACAGCTAATCACATGGTACAGATGGACTGTGATTGGACTTGTCTGTACCATGTGACCAATCACAGCGAACAACACAGTTATAACAATGAATGTGCTGTTTATCCTCTTCACCTAGGAAAAACAACACAGGGGTGGACTACAGAGTGAATGATCACTGTTCTAGTCATACAGCGGTTATCACAGAAATCATGTGATCGGGATCTGGTTCCCTGGGGTCACGATTGTTAGTAGAGACTTGGGGCTGTCACGGACAGCTCAGTCTCTGTGCTGGGAGTGCACACACTTCCAGTACAAACACAAAAACGCATATATGCGTCAACCTATTTTAAAGTCCACTTCCCATGTGTTAGGTGATGGTGAAGGGGTTCAATTACAGCCTGCAACTGTTAGAGACAAAACTCAGCCCTCAACATCTACTCATCATTCTTACAAAGCTGTGAAATAGAAAGCTGATGTTGAAACGTCTAAGATGTGCCAACAGATTATTATTATTATACAGTATTTATAAAGCGCCAATAGTTCGCTCAGCGCTGTACATTAAAGAGGGGGACAGAACATGTGACAGAACAATACCAATACAATGCAAAACATGAGGGGATCGAGGGCCCTGCTCTTTCGAGCTTACAATCTAGGAGATCAAGTAGAATGAGCCTTGACAAGAAAGGGAGGTTCTTTATTCTTCAGGGCGGAGTCACAAGAAATTAATTGGAGTCTTTATTAGGTAATAATGGACTGTGAAGCAAGACCCAGTTTTCTCTCCTGATCCCGATGTAAACCTGACCTTAACCGCTGAACAACTACTGTGTCAATTAGCTGTGAAAACGGAGCTTCAATTCGCACTGCACATGTGCGAATCCACACTTATGGCCCACTTATGACCCAAAATGTAGAATGACCCGGATTTTCTGATAGAAGCTGTAGCTGCAAGGTAAACCAACTCTACATCCTGGTAATGCTGGACACTACTTTTGAACCCTTATGGTAAGGGCAAGGCGAAGGCAAGACAATATTCTCATTTAAAGTGGAATCCATTACCACCAAAGGCAAATCCATTACCTTGCCCCTGTGCAACAGTACAAAGAGGCTGTTTACATGAGAGAGCAACCAACTCTGACACCCATCTTTCTGAGGTAATTGCCCTCAGGATCAAGCCAGAGAGTTCTTGGCCTTGGACTAATTGAGTGTACAACACTGCTTTGAACAAGGCCACCATGGTCTCCATAACCAGCACACAACCTCACAGAAAGTCTTGCTGTGGAGCACGGGTTCTGAGCCTGCATCCAAAAAAAAGAAAAAAAAAAAAAAAAAAAAAAAAAAAAAAACCACAATACCTTGTTCTGGGGTGTGTCCAAGTCCCATGCTGGTAGATCCAGCTTGAGACATTTGCGAATCTCCTCCACAAGCACAAAAATTATGTCTTTCAATTTAAGGCACATCCCAAAACAGGGCTCTCCCGCAGCTGGAACACAGCCTTGGACAGCGACGCACATGCTGAACAACTTACCAGAGTTCACTGCCTCCCCACCAAGCTCAGTACATTAACAACATTACAGACCTTCCCTGCTCTCCTCTTCATGTGGGGTCTTGGTACAGTCCCTGCAGCCCTAAGCCGCAGGGCATTATTGTTGGGAACCAGTTACTGAGTGCAGTTGTAAGTCGCTATTTGCCACTGTGTCAGTGCTGGCAATAACCAGCATTCAGTATTTTTTTATTTAAGATAGCACTACAATTTCACTGTCAATCAAACATAGTATGGCAAATAAAATTGAAAAGATTTTGAGGAAAACAAATTACTTATGTCTTACCATCAAATCCTTCACTCGATTACTTAATTGATCTATAAATAATATAGGAAGGTAATGAACAGACTTCCCAAGTTGAATCCTATGACAAAAAGGAGAATGCACATATATAAGCATGTTACAAAAAAAAAAAAAATCAATAAACACACACAACACAGATTATTATTATTATTACTACATCGAGTTTATATAGCGCCAAGGGTTTTACTCAGCGCTGTACAATAGAGGGGGGGACAATACAAGAAAGAGAACAGAAACAACAACAGTACACGAGGGGTTAGAGGGCCCTACTCTTTAGAGCTTACAATCTAGGAGGGAGGGGGTAGTGGCACAGGAGGAAGTGGCTGTGGGGGATGGAGTGCTAGGAGGAATGAAGGAGAACGTCTGTTAGGTGAGGGTGGGGTAGGCTTCCCTGAAGAGATGGGTTTTCAGGGTGCGCCTGAAGGTGAGGAGTGAAGGTGACAGTCTGATGGATTGGAGCAGTGAGTTCCAGAGGATGGGGGAGGACCTGGAGAAGTCTTGCAGTCGTGCGTGGGAGGAGGAGACCAGAGAGCAAGATAGAAGGAGGTCCTGTGAGGAGCGAAGGGTACGGGTAGGGTGGTACTTGGGAATCAGGTTGGTGAGGTAGTTAGGGGCGGTGTTGTGAATGGCTTTGTAGGTCAGAGTGAGTAGTTTGAATTTGATGCGTTGGGCAAGCGGGAGCCAGTGGAGGGAATGACAGAGGTGGAGCAGTTGGTGAGGTGAATGAGTCTAGCCGCTGAGTTCAGGATGGTCTGGAGCGGGGGAGAGCCTGCACTGGGGTAGGCCGGTGAGAAGGGAGTTGCAGTAGTCAAGGCGTGAGATAATAAGGGAGTGTACGAGTAGTTTAGTGGTGTCTGGGGTAAGGAAGGTACATGGCGCATGCACAGCTGTTTTTACTCTCTAATGCTCTTTGCATAAACAGGCAATGCATAAGCAGAGAGTAGAAGGTACATCATGACTGTTGATAACGAGAGATTAATAAAGTAGAAGGCGTTTACTAAAGAGAGAATTTTTACAATCTGGGTTTAAGCTATATGTACAAAATGAATGTTCAAATTGTAAAAATAATTGATTAAGCTAAAGTCACAAATTTAGCTTTTATTTTTTTTTTTCTCTTCTTGACCTTAACGTAAGGCTACTATCACACTGATCATTTCCCCCCCCCCCCCCCCCCCAGTTTTTGCATTAAAAAAAAGTGGAAAAGAAAGCACAACCATTAAATACTATGAAACTCTTCACACTGGTCAGTTGCAGGTCCATTTTTCAAAGTTCTGCAAGATGCATTTTTGGTGCAGTAAAAAAAAAAATGCTTTTTTAAATCAAGAATACTTACATTTTCATGTATCTGTGAACATCAGCAGGTAGAGAGGACCCATCAAAAATAAAGTCTTCCACCATAACATTCAGTGTTAGCCGAGATCTCCAGTGTGAGACAGGTTCATCCAGTGCATTATTTTCCTTTTTATCGGTGTCAATTTGCTTAAAATAAAAATCAAAAACATCATATAAGAGGGTAATTACCCACTTAAGTTCTTGTACCTGTATACCACTTATAGATCAGAACCATTTTTACATTTCTGATAAGAACTTTTTTATTCAGGAATAACTGTCATAAATTACGATAGCAAAGAAATATATACAGGTGAAACTCGAAAAATTAGAATATCATGCAAAAGTTTTATTTATTTCAGTAATGCAACTTAAAAGGTGAAACTAATATATGAGATAGACTCATTACATGCAAAGCAAGATAGTTCAAGCCGTGATTTGTCATCATTGTGATGATTATGGCTTACAGCTCATGAAAACCCCAAATCCACAATCTCAGAAAACGAGAATATTGTGAAAAGGTGCAATATTCTCGGCTCAAAGTGTCGCACTCTAATCAGATAATTAAGCCATAACACCTGCAAAGGGTTCCTGAGCCTTTAAATGGTCTCTCAGTCTGGTTCAGTATATATATATATATATTTTTTGCAATCTTGAAACAAAGATTACACACAGTTACATAGCTGGTAAAGTTGAATAAAGACATCGATCCATCTAGTGAACCTGAGTGTGTATCTACTGTTTTCCATGTCTCTGTACATTGTGTTCGCTAAGAAACACATCTAAAAGTTAATTGAACTTATCTACACTCTCAGGGATGTTCATTGTATATCGCTGGTCGCTGCGGGCAAGCACCTGTTAGGTGGAAGCATTTGGGTGGCAGCGCTGCCGCCCGATTGCTTCCACACAGCCCACAGCACCAGCCCCCTGCCCATTATATATCCCAGGCTCCGCTTGCTCATCTGCGGGCCCGAGACTGGTTCTGTGGGTGCCAGGATGCCGGTATAGGGTAAGGAGGAGAGTGGTCACATCCACTCTCCTCCCCTTCTTGTCCTGACCCGGAAGTGATGTGACGTCACTTCCATGTCCCCATTGACAGATTCCCAGCCTCAATGGAATGTAATGTGGTGTGATGTGCACTGCATTACATTCAGGGGAGATATGTAGGGACTTATTGTCCCCTATGTGTTTTAAAAAAAAAGTTAAGTACAAACTTTTTAATTTTTAAAAAAAAATGAAAGTTACACTCAAGCATATAAACCCACCCAAAAAAAATTTTTTTCAAGCCCCCCCCCCCCCCACCCCCACATACAAAAGTAAAAGCACACGCTGGGGTGCCTACACATGAAAACGTTGATTGTGATACACGTTGCATATTGACGTACACGCCAGAATGAGAGCAATAATGCTAGCACCAGACCTCCACCGTAACGCTAAACTTATGACCTATAAGGGGCTTTAAAAGCATCACCTATAAAAAATAGAGGATACTAAAGTTTGTTGCCGTTTCACAAGCGCACGCAAATTTAAGGTTTGACATGTTGGATATCTATTTACTCGATGCAGCCTCATCTTTTATATGTTTACAAAAAATTGATAATTTATTGCTTTTTGGCCCTAAAATTAACTTTAGTGTATTTTTTGCTGAAATTTTGTTTCTTACACCTCTGTGATATCACGTGACATAAAAAATTGGAACTACTGCTATTTTATTCTCTAGGGTGTCTGCTTTCAGAAAATATATAATGTTTGGGGGTTTTGTGTAATATTCAGGCCTTAAATCATGGCTTAAAATAGCCAGGCCTTAAGAGTTACTCGCCACCAACACACAGAAAACAGAGACACCTGTGCACACAATCAGACATGTACATACATACATACATACATACATACACACACACGCACAGAGACACATGTACACACACAGAAACATATACACACACGCACAGAGACACATGTACACACACACATACAGACACAGGCACGTTCAGACACGCATACACACAGATACATGTACATACACAGAAATACACACGCACAGACATGTACACACAGACACGTACGTACATACACATGTACATGCATACACAGACACACACGCGCTATTAAGTGCTCTCTCCTCTCCCCTGAAGCCACCACTGGCTGACATAGAGGATCATGTGACCAGAGTGAGCTGAAATTAGGTAGCCCCACACACACACAGCCCTATAAAAAGTTGCAGTACTTCGTTGTTCACTCACAGAGCCGGGTACTGCACTCTAGGGGAGGCAGAGAGCACAGCACACACGCCTTCCTTTGCTTTCACTGCGCTCAGCTATTGAGCAGTCTGACAGCTCCCAGTGCCAATGACAGATCTGGCCTGAGCTCCGAGCCTGCTCAGCAAGACGGCTCTGGGGGACACACTCGCCCCCACCATAATTTCCACTCGCCATTGGCGAGCAGAAATTTGAAGGCCTGCCCTAAATGATTTTTTTAAACGTGTGTAAAAATCGCAAAAACAGCTCTGGCAGTGAAAGGGATAAAAGATAAGCTGGACACTCCCCTTCCCTGACGAGCAGCCAACCGGTGCTCATTACACTGCAAGGTCTCCCTACTAGTCCCCGGGTGCGGTGCTGGAGACAGGCAGAGAGGGGAGGAGGAGGTAAACGGCGCAATGTTAAAAATATTAAACATTTAAGTCACTGTAAAGCCCCTTTTGTTTTTAAAAGCCCCAGACATTACCAACAGCACCTCAGATTTAAATACGGTTTTGGTTAAAATTTCTTTTTTTTTTTTTTTTATCAGGACAAGTAGATTGTTATGAGGCACAAGTAGATTGGGGAACCAATTTAGTCCCTGGACAAGTAGTTTTTTTTCCAAAATTTCCACACTCTCTCCACTGATACCACGAACTGTGGAAGGGAGTTCCACATCCTTATTGCCCTAACAGCAAAAATATTTAGTTAAAACACACTTTTTTCTTTATAAGGTATACAAGAATATGAAGTATAAAAAAAGTATTTATTTTATTCTATAATTTGCCATGTTAATGACACTACTCACAAGGTCCTAAGGACAATACAAATAGAAAATACTGTATGTCTGGCTGATCGAAGCTGTAGCTTTGAGGTAGAGTATAGTGGCTCTGTCCAGGCAATGAAAAGAGATTTCCTTTGGATGTTTTGGAGCAGGGCATAGGGATGGCAGAACTAGGTCTTCATTAAGGTGGAAGACAGATAGCACCTTGGGAAGAAAGGATGGTCTTGGCCATAAAACAACCTTGTCATTATGCTGTATGAGAAGTGGCTTCTTACAAGAGAGCCAGCAACTCAGAGACATATCTGCCTAACATGACAGCAACCAAAAAGGCTACAATGCTGAAGAAGTAATTTAAGGAAATATCCTTAACGGTTCAAAGGGTGGTTTCTGCAGATCAAAGAGAACCAAGTAGAGATCTGGTGTTGCAATGGGGGCTTAATGCAAGATACGACTTTTTACAAGGGAGAGGGAAGTCGGATGTCTTTGAAAAGGAATGGACAAGGCCGAACCATGTCCTTTCCAGAGTGCTTAAAAGTTATGTTCTGGTGAGGCAGAGTAATTTCTGGGATTGAGGTACCAGTGTTCACATCAGGCAAAGGATAATTCCCAGGTACGATAGTAGATCTTCCTGGGAGGAGCTTTTCTTTCAGCAAGGTAGGAATGACAGTCTCAGAGACCACTCCATCTTTTAAGACCTGGGCTTCAACAGCCATGCTGTTAAAGCAAGAGACTGAGAAACAGGATAGAATATAGAGCCCAAGATGGCAGATATGGCCTGTTGGGAAGAGGCCAGACATTGTGTGCTAGAAGTCTGAATAGGTCTTTATACTTGTCTTTTCTGGGCCAGTACAGTGCAACGAGAATCATCGTTGCTCTCTTTCTCTACCTTTTGAGCAGACAAGACAGAATTTATACTGGAGGGAAGGTGTAGCTCAGTCTGAACTAAGACCAGGGAATTATCAGGGCATCTGTTCCCAGCACCAGAGGTAGTTAGTGGTTGAATCTACAGGCTAGGATGCCTACATCTGAAATCCCCCATTTCTGACATATCAGCCTGAAGATGTCTGGGTAAAGGACTTATTCCCCTTGGTCCAGCTGGTAGCAGCTGAAGTGTTCGCTTGTCCATTAGTGGGATATGGAGCGCAAAGATAAGCAGGTTTCTGTCCAGGAGGTTATCCAATTTGCTGCCTTCAAAGTTGCAAGACTCCTGGTACCCCCTCTGACATCTCAACTGGGTGTCCTTGCTGAAAAAAAAGGGGGGGGGGGGGGGGGTCAGTGTTACAGCGCCATCCAAACTGCTCTAATTTCCAGGATGGTGATGGGAGCTTAGCTTTCATGGAACATCATGTTCCCTGAACCATGACAATGTCCTCAGTCAGATGAAAGTCAGACCCCACCTTTGGAAGGAAGGAGGAAAGTGAACAAAGAACCACCTTAACCCTGTATAAAACCAAATCAGGTGACTTATAGGACAGGACTCACATGCAGCATGTGGAACTGATAGCTACTAAAAAGGCGACCTTCTGGGAGAGTATATGTAAGGGAAAATCCCTAATATTTTCAAAGGGAGGCTTCTGAAGAATTGAAAGAACCATATTCAGGTCCCACGGCGCCTACGGAGATGGCATTGTTGGAGCTACATGCCAAACCCCTTGAATGAAGGTATGAATCAAGGAAGGCATGGCCAGAGGGAGTTGAAAGAAAATCACAAGAGCAGAAATGTTGCCCTTAATAGTAGTCAAGGCAAGCGATAAGCCAAAATCTGAGACATCGAGATGGAACGTGGGTTCAAATCCACAGCCTCACACAACGAAAAGTAAGCCTTCCAAGAATATGAGTGATAAGAATGATAAATGTTCCAAAAGGTAGATTTACTTACCTTCAACATGAAAATCACCAAGTTTGACAACCCCGTCTCTTAGAACATGGCTGTCCATAGCCAAGTTGCCAAAGCCAGCAAACCTCTGTACTTTCCCAAAGCAAGTCAGGGCCTTAAGGTACAGACTCCTTCCTACTTCGGAACCATAAATAGATTGGAGTAAAACCCCTGAAAGTTCTTTGGGTCCAGAACCAGAGCTGCTACGCCCTGGAGAAGCAGATTCTACACCTCTCTGGTAAAGATCCTGCAGATGAGATGGGGAAAGATGAAGATTGGAAGCAAGGATTTGTTTGGCAGATAGAAAAGAAATTCTGTTTTGCAGCCTGACAGAATCAGTCCGTGGACCCATTTGATTAAAAGCAGAGAGATTCACATATCTGCGAGCGAACAAAGGTGACCCCCCACTCTGGAAATAGGTGGGGACAAGCCTTTATCCCTTGGAGGGCTTGTGAGGGCAGGAGCACTTTGTGCTACCCGGGGGGAGCCTTGAAGGGCTTGGATCCTTTGTCCAAGGAGCCTGGTGAATGAAAAAACTGCTTGTGTTTAGAGACACACATAGGCTCTGTAACTAGAGGGCCGCCGCCATGTAGCTACACAAAAATGACTGCTGGCAATATCACTGCCAAAATTGTGGACCACTAGAGAAAACCAGACCAGCACAAGGAAATGACCCTACCCAAAATGGCCACTGTGCTAGTTCCCACCAGCAGGACCCGCAAAAATTGCACCTGTGACTACGCCAAAATAGCCACCAGCTGGCTTGTCCAGCACAAGGATGGTCAAGAGGAAGCGATGGGGAGGATGGAAAAGGGGGGGCACTGGACAGAGACAACCCAGGCCTGGAGAAAAATGGAAGCCCTGCACAACTAACCCGCACCAGGAAGTACCCGCAGCACACCACCACGCCTGAGGAAATAAGGAGGGGGGCGAGGCATCTACTCACCAGTCTAGCAGAAGTAGCAGGTACTACCACTCCAGGGACACACCTCCTCCCACCAAGGTGGGGGGCTGTCAAAAAGGGAAACCCTCTGACATGGATGTCAGGTGACCGGTCCTATGTGTCCTCACGTGATGGTTAATTCGCCAGCCACCCCGGTTCAGGTTGCAGCCAACCCAGCACGTATCGTAAAGTCTGCACGGGATTTTCTGACCAGGCTGGGGTGACTAATGGGTCTAGATTATCCAGGCTGTTGCCCAGCCCAGCTGTTGATAGAAGATATCTACAGAAAAAATTCCAGGGCATAAAGAAAAAATGAGAAAAGAATTCCCTTTCTCATAGTGCCACTCATTGACTTGCAGACCCGATTCTGACTACAGGTTCCTGTCTACATTCCAGGTGTGGACAGTGGGCAGGTTGATTTCCTCCCAGATGGTTGATGTAGGCCACTGTCAAGGCATAGTCCATCTGAATTCTGGGGACCAAGTCCCCTACACCAAAAAGGCATCCAGGGCCCCACCAGCCCAGTAGGTTAGCATCCTTTATGCAAACCTACCTGGTCTTTCAAGGAAAAAGATTATCCAGACTGCAGCACCTGGTTTGAAATTCACCATGTCGGGGGGAGTCTGGCCTTGCTGGCCAGACACATTAGCAAGTCTAAGGACCAAGCCTATTTTGTGCACAGTCAGAATATTGGTTTGGAGTGAAACTGGGTTTATGGTACTGCCGCGAAGGCTGCCACCATCAGGAATCTCATGCAGGCATGAATTGAAGCTGAATCTGGGACTCAAGCTTTCAAGCATGCAAGTGAAAGGACATGAGTTTGTTCTTGGGCAGGAGGACCCTGGACAGGGCAGTATCCAATACCAGGCTTAGGTACTTCAAGAGAAGACTTGGGTTAAGCAATAAGTTCTAAAGATTGGGGATTAAGGTCCTTTACCTGGTGATCATCTGGGTATTTCACAATGTGGATACCTCAACAGAGGAGCAGAACTGTAAGCAGGGCAACCACCCAGGGTGACCTGGATGGGCCAAAGGGCAGGGCAGCAAACTGTTATAATGTTATGCACCCACAGCAAAACAGAGGTAGCATTGATGAAGTGGAAAGATGGTGATCTGTAAGTATGTCCATGGAGGCCAGAAGATCCCCCAGTAGAAGGCAAACATTAACTGACCCAGCACATTCCATGCAGGGCTTTCTGGCCCGATTCCAACCTCATTACTTGAAGATGATGGCAATAGCTACACATGCAAGGCCCACCTCCACCACTTCCCACTGGCTCTAAAAAACATTTCTTAACTCGACAAAGGTTTTGTGTCCCTATCAACCAGGGCCATTAAAAGGATAAGTTCATCTTTGGGAACCCGTTTTAGGGTGGATCATGTAACATGTTTCCAGTGAAGCAGCAGCTGCCCACTGCCTCCCCCTCCCTATGACAGAAGTATGGGGAGAAGTTCCCTGTACTAGCTGTCACTTTTTAAAAACAGTGCAGTTGTGTGGGGCTCTGCCCACATGGCCACATCATTCATTCACAGTGTTCTGTGAAAGAATGAACTACAAGTCTGACAGGCTTAGCGGATGTTGGCTCGTAGTTCTCAATGAATTCATTGAATCTTCCGGTTAGTAGATATGCTTGCCCATACAGCCCGTACAAGCAAGCAGATATACTGACAGGTCTGCAGGAGACCTGCATGGCACCAGCTATCTGCTGACCACTGGTGCAATGCTTTACAGGCTCCTGTGACCAAAAATAATAAATGCACATTTTTTTTTCCTACAAAAAAATGTGCATTTAATATTTTTGGTCAAAAGGTGAACTTAACACAGAAAATGTACATTGTGGATATAAGATGATGAATCATCATGTACTTATTTTTCCCTCATATTTTTTAGTGTAATTTGAGGTTTTATTTTTTTCAACACCTTCATTCAGTTGACCTGAAATTTTCAGTGTTTGGAGTATTAATTTTCTGTTATGCATGGCCATGATCATGCATACTGTAAAGACAAATATACCCAATAACCACCCCCCACATAAAAAAAAATTGATAAGAAAAAGTTACTTCTGCAAGGGAATTTTCACTTAATGAAGATTCACTTTTCAAACAATACTCCTAGTAATGTACTAGAAGAAAAACTAACAACAAAAAAGTCATCAGAGCTTATTCACTAAGCGAAGGGAAATTTTCCTTGCAAGGTGAACAGCCTATCTGTGTTTAGTAAAACAACTCCATACTGTCTAAAGCACCCTAACAACAAACTACTCCCAAAAACAAAGGACGGAGGACAGTCTGAACATGCGCGAGCCTTTTAATGCTAAAAAATCTCTCAACTACCACAAACCCCTTAATTTTGCCTTCCCCACAGACTACACAGATTTGCTCACGCCCATTGAAGATAACCGATTACTCAAAGACAAAATATTATGCAAATATTACAATATATTTTATAGAGTTGAGAATAGCAACTCTGTAACAACCCCAGGAGTTTTACATTTCTACAACAGAAATAAAATTACTTGCCGAGGTTTCTTTATAAATAGCACTTAACTATAAACAGGCCCCTAAAAATTCTAATTAGAGTTTGCCGACAAATTAGTTTCTTTAAAGAATTAGTTCACCTTTTGTAACATGTTATATGTTACACCCATATTCAGGGTGTAATGTGCAACAATTTATGATCAGACTGGCTCCCGCTCCCCCCAAATCCCCATTGTGACAGCTAGCAGGAGACCATCTCCTCCCTGCTTGCTGTCACAATTTAAAAAAAAACGTGGCTGTGCAGGGCTCCGCCGCCCGGGCCACATTCATAGTGAATGAGAACACTACAAGTTCAAACAGCCTTTGCGGCTGTCGGCTTGTAGCTGTCAATAAACTACCACGGCGCTATGCAGCAACGTGGTAGTTCATTGAGTTTTCCTGTCAGTAAGTCCTACAGGGTGTACAAGCAAGCAGATACAGTGACAGGTCAGAGGGAGACCTGCAACCTACTAATCGCTGGTGTAATGCTTTAGATGCTCCAGAAACAAAAAATAAAAAACACACTTTACCAGCAAGAAAATGTGCATTTATTATTTTTTGTTATAATTGTTTTTAGATCTTCCCAAAAATAAGCAAACCCTAAACTGAAATATATGGGAAGGACAAAGGCTTACTTCTAAAGGATAAAAACACGCAGAACGAAAGTTCATTCAGTTCATTTACATCATAAATATTTTTCATAAACCAGTAGAGTTTACCAGGCACACTAAGGGGTCTTTTTAAACAAAAAAATGCGCTGTGCAAATGTTTCACACAGCCATTGCAAATAATACTTTAATGAGTCTAATGTGTGAAATGTAATATTTTTATTTTCTATGATTGTTAGCTCCATCTAGTGGTCAAAATGCACTGTTTTCCTGATTGCAGCATGTCAGGAAAAGATGGAGCCAATGATCAAAGAAAACACATGGAAAATTATACATATAATACACACAATATAGGGTTCATTCATAATGGCTGGGCAAATGAGACACTGAGACATTCGCACTGTGAATTGTTTTTAAATATAGACCCATGTAATATGTAAACAATCATAATAGGATGATTATCAACTTTTAAAAAGCAGAGGCCCTAGATCTGTGATGATCACAATGTACGTGGGCAATTTATCCTTAGTTTATGCAAGAATATATGAATAGAAAACCTATTTTATTTTAAATTACATTGATCTATAGAACAGGAAAATAATTTATTACCATACCAAGTGATTTCAGTAACACTTATTCTATTAAAATTAATAATAGCAAATTTTACCAAAATACCCCACCTGAGTTCCAGTTTCTCCAGTAATGAGATTAACTCTCTTCAGGCTTTGGAATCATGTAAGTAGTCAAAGGGCTCACAATATGTACTTGTTTACCATCGTGCCATGGAAGGACCCCAGAGTGATGAAGAAATATATATGCATACAATGTGCCATTATTCCTGGTTTTCTTGGGTACAGTAACATTCACAGTTCTAAAATCAGACATAAACATGTATAATTAGCTGTATGTCACACAATTTTAATCTAACAATGCAATATGATATATAGAATGATTGCTCTACTTTTACCAGTAATGGACAGTGCCCACATTTTAAAATTTCTGTCACAAACAGGGGAAAAGATAAAAAGGAAAAAAAGTTGAAAAGTTAAAATCCATGGAAAATGTGCGAGGATGCTGGTCAACATTTTCAAGCAAATAGCCCCTTCTATGCCGATGCAAGAAAATACATACACATGAGCTGCCACCACTCACAAATTGATGACTTGCATGAAACCTACACCATGCTCTTAACACTTCTAGCCAGAAAAATATGTGTTCCAGTAGGCTTGTATACAGGTTTTTGCAAACACACGCAACCATTTTCTTTAGCACTTAGGAAGTGGCTGATTTAGCTGCCTCTTAACAGTGTTACTTCAGGTAGATACAATACCAAGCTTACTTCCTGTAATCATGTGCACTTTGCAGCTATTTAAATACACAGACTTATTAAATTACAATTTGTATACCCTAAAATGTGGGAAGTCGCATGACATAAGCCAGGGTTCCTCAAACTTATAGAACAAACAGCCAAGGTCATTGGGAGTTGTCAGTGGAAGGAGGAATACTGCCTCATAATCGATGCCAGTGGGAGGAGAAATAATGACTCATTTTTGGAGCCAGTGAGAAGAGAAGCAGTACCCAAGACTTGGTGTCAGTGGGAGAAGGAATGGCGTCCCATGGTTGGTATCAGTGGGAGAAGGAATGGCGTCCCATGGTTGGTATCAGCGGGAGAAGGAATGGCGTCCCATGGTTGGTATCAGCGGGAGAAGGAATGGCGTCCCATGGTTGGTATCAGCGGGAGAAGGAATGGCGTCCCATGGTTGGTATCAGCGGGAGAAGGAATGGCGTCCCATGGTTGGTATCAGCGGGAGAAGGAATGGCGTCCCATGGTTGGTATCAGCGGGAGAAGGAATGGCGTCCCATGGTTGGTATCAGCGGGAGAAGGAATGGCGTCCCATGGTTGGTATCAGCGGGAGAAGGAATGGCGTCCCATGGTTGGTATCAGCGGGAGAAGGAATGGCGTCCCATGGTTGGTATCAGCGGGAGAAGGAATGGCGTCCCATGGTTGGTATCAGCGGGAGAAGGAATGGCGTCCCATGGTTGGTATCAGCGGGAGAAGGAATGGCGTCCCATGGTTGGTATCAGCGGGAGAAGGAATGGCGTCCCATGGTTGGTATCAGTGGGAGAAGGAATGGCGTCCCATGGTTGGTATCAGTGGGAGAAGGAATGGCGTCCCATGGTTGGTATCAGTGGGAGAAGGAATGGCGTCCCATGGTTGGTATCAGTGGGAGAAGGAATGGCGTCCCATGGTTGGTATCAGTGGGAGAAGGAATGGCGTCCCATGGTTGGTATCAGTGGGAGAAGGAATGGCGTCCCATGGTTGGTATCAGTGGGAGAAGGAATGGCGTCCCATGGTTGGTATCAGTGGGAGAAGGAATGGCGTCCCATGGTTGGTATCAGTGGGAGAAGGAATGGCGTCCCATGGTTGGTATCAGTGGGAGAAGGAATGGCGTCCCATGGTTGGTATCAGTGGGAGAAGGAATGGCGTCCCATGGTTGGTATCAGTGGGAGAAGGAATGGCGTCCCATGGTTGGTATCAGTGGGAGAAGGAATGGCGTCCCATGGTTGGTATCAGTGGGAGAAGGAATGGCGTCCCATGGTTGGTATCAGTGGGAGAAGGAATGGCGTCCCATGGTTGGTATCAGTGGGAGGGAGAAGGAATGGGAGAAGGAATGGCCCATGGTTGGTATCAGTGGGAGAAGGAATGGCGTCCCATGGTTGGTATCAGTGGGAGAAGGAATGGCGTCCCATGGTTGGTATCAGTGGGAGAAGGAATGGCGTCCCATGGTTGGTATCAGTGGGAGAAGGAATGGCGTCCCATGGTTGGTATCAGTGGGAGAAGGAATGGCGTCCCATGGTTGGTATCAGTGGGAGAAGGAATGGCGTCCCATGGTTGGTATCAGTGGGAGAAGGAATGGCGTCCCATGGTTGGTATCAGTGGGAGAAGGAATGGCGTCCCATGGTTGGTGGGAGAAGGAATGGCGTCCCATGGTTGGTATCAGTGGGAGAAGGAATGGCGTCCCATGGTTGGTATCAGTGGGAGAAGGAATGGCGTCCCATGGTTGGTATCAGTGGGAGAAGGAATGGCGTCCCATGGTTGGTATCAGTGGGAGAAGGAATGGCGTCCCATGGTTGGTATCAGTGGGAGAAGGAATGGCGTCCCATGGTTGGTATCAGTGGGAGAAGGAATGGCGTCCCATGGTTGGTATCAGTGGGAGAAGGAATGGCGTCCCATGGTTGGTATCAGTGGGAGAAGGAATGGCGTCCCATGGTTGGTATCAGTGGGAGAAGGAATGGCGTCCCATGGTTGGTATCAGTGGGAGAAGGAATGGTGTCCCATGGTTGGTATCAGTGGGAGAAGGAATGATGTCCCATGGTTGGTATCAGTGGAAGGAGGGACAGTGTCCCATTTTTTTTTATTTGATTATGAACCTCTCTTGCTTCATTTTGGATTTGTGCTTCCACATAAAGTAATTAGTTATATTATTTAGTGAAAAAATAAAAAAATTCTGTTGGACTGGTGTGAATGGTTTGCACAATACAAAGGAGTTTAAGAAGAATATCTACAGTATGTCTATAATATTGATATGACTAAACCATGGAAAAAAAAAAAGTTTGTTATATTCTCTGAATTGTTTATTTACTTGTTGAATGAAGGGTGGGAGTTACGTTCCGTTAAAAAAATGATACCTTGAATGTGTCAGTATGTGAAATAAGGTAAGATATACTACATAAAACAGTGAAACTCAATAACAGTGAAAACTAACAGTCACATGGCTAAGCTGAGAAACATTAATGTTGGCTACCTAAATACAAGTAAACTGCATTGGAACATTCTTATTGCTAAGCTGTAAATGAAGTCGAGATCAAACATTGGTCTGCTGTTACCTAAAAATAAAACTCAGAATATTTTAATTAGTCCACGAGGGATACTATCAGGAAAGCTTGGATAAAATATCAATACAAATAAAGAGGAAACTTTGTAAAGAAACACTTAAACTAGATAAGAAAGACATTTGCATGTAGTTATTAATATAAGCTGTTAAATAATTGCAAATAAACTGGGCTGAATTTGTATTACCGTATTTTCCGGCATATAAGACGACCCCCTACTTTTCCTGTTAAAATGTAGTGTTTAGGCTATACTCGCCGTATAAGACTACCCCTCTTCCAATGCACACCAGTGGGAAGAATCGTGCCCCATCATTGGTGTCAGTGGGAGGAATAGTGCCCCATCATTGGTGTCAGTGGGAGGAATCGTGCCCCATCATTGGTGTCAGTGGGAGGAATCGTGCCCCATCATTGGTGTCAGTGGGAGGAATCGTGCCCCATCATTGGGAGGGTGTCAGTGGGTGGGAGGAATAGCGCCCCATCATTGGTGTCAGTGAGAGGAATAGCGCCCCATCATTGGTGTCAGTGAGAGGAATAGCGCCCCATGGGAGGAATTGGTGTCAGTGAGAGGAATAGCGCCCCATCATTGGTGTCAGTGAGAGGAATAGCGCCCCATCATTGGTGTCAGTGGGAGGAATCGTGCCCCATCATTGGTGTCAGTGGGAGGAATCGTGCCCCATCATTGGTATCAGTGGGGGGAATCGTGCCCCATCATTGGTGTCAGTGGGAGGAATCGTGCCCCATCATTGGTGTCAGTGGGAGGAATCGTGCCCCATCATTGGTGTCAGTGGGAGGAATCGTGCCCCATCATTGGTATCAGTGGCAGGAATCGTGCCCCATCATTGGTATCAGTGGGAGGAATAGTGCTCCATCATTGGTGTCAGTGGGAGGAATAGTGCCCCATCATTGGTGTCAGTGGGAGGAATAGTGCCCCATCATTGGTGTCAGTGGGAGGAATAGTGCCCCATCATTGGTGTCAGTGGGAGGAATAGTGCCCCATCATTGGTGTCAGTGGGAGGAATAGTGCCCCATCATTGGTGTCAGTGGGAGGAATAGTGCCCCATCATTGGTGTCAGTGGGAGGAATAGTATCTGATCATTGGTGTCAGTGGGGGGGGGGGGGGGAAGTGCCCCATCGTTGGTGTCAGTGGGGGGGGGGGGGCGGGAATCAGCCCTGTACTTAGTGTCCCTTGGAAGGGGGGGGGGGGGCGGCCCCCTAAAAAGTGTCAGCATGCCGTATGCCGGCGTATAAGACGACCCCCGACTTTTGAGAAGATTTTCAAGGGGTAAAAAGTCGTCTTATATGCCGGAAAATACGGTACTACTACTGTATTTATATTTTTTGATTGGCCAGCTTGTTTCTACACTGTGATGAATGCACGTGTTTGTTTATATACATACATACACACAAATAATATACTTTCTTACCTTTCAAATCTTGACTCCACGTCAAAGTTGTCGACATTTAGAACCAAATCAACATTATTTTCAGCGCTAATACTAGTCCTTGTTGTGGTGTATACACTTAACTGGAATAGTAGAAAAAAAAAAATGAGAATGACATGAACAATAGTCTACTATATCGAAATAAAATGGCTAGGTGGTTTAAAAGAAGTGCTAAAATCTAATTTAGAGTTACGTAGTTGGTAAGGTTGAATAAAGACACTGGTTCACCCAATTCAATGTGTGTATGTTTATTTCACTACCATTTTCAATATCCCTGTATTGTTTTTACGGTCTGCGTTCCCCTGCAGTGCCATTTGGCAGCCCATTCCTTTGAATGGGCTGCAAATGGCACAAGATCGCACAAACAAGTAGGGCATGCACTACTAATGAAAAACGCAGCACCAACTAGCATTGTACTGCATTACCATGCAATCTGGTGTCCACACATGCACTGTGGTTACGTTGCTGTTTATGTATTAGCACCCGCAGCAGTTCACAAAGGCAGTGTGTTTTGAATGCAATGCGGGATATGTACATGAAAAGCACCTTCCCTGCACCGTGTTCTGGTGTGAACTGGCCCTAAGTATTCCTGTTCTAATCAATGATAGGTGGACAGATCCTTATGGTACCCATACACTAGGTGAAAAATTTTAAAAAATCCATAATTTGGACAGTTTGTCTTTTTTTCACCCAGTTAAGGAGCACAAATCGGAAAACGGTTGTGAAGTTTTTGAGACAAAAAAAAAAAAACAAAGAAAAAAAACGAAGGAAAAGTTTGGAAGACTTCTGCCACACAAACAAAAAATTGAAAGGTTAATGTGTTTCTTGCCTGTTAAAAATTGAACTGTTGGACTGCGCATATGTGCCCCAGAAGCAAAATACGAACAAAAAACTGATTCATTTAAGTCCATTGAACGATTTATCATTCGAAATTCAGTCATTACACGATGGCAATAACATTTGCTCTCATGACCATGTGTTCGTTTTTTGAAAATGCATTTGAGCAATTTTTGCACTTGTGTACGGCCAGCATTACACACACGAGTGCATATTAGTCTGAGACCAATGCACGGCTCCGAACACAGTCTGTCTGCATTGATCCCACATGGATGTACACTAAAGACTGCAAGCTAAGATAAATGGAGATCTGTGCAGAAGTCTACCTGTCAGTGATTTGAACGGGCTGACTGCATGGACCATCTAAGTCTCCTGGGTGGGAAAACATGCACCTCTGTACAGGTGTACCGATCAGTGTGAATGAGGCCTAAAAATTTAAATTTCTCCACAATTCTTAGCAATACAGAACTCAAGGATAACTTGTTTAAAATAGTGGTTTTACTGCTTGTATAGAATAGGTCAAGTATTTTAGCATCATCTGGGAAGTGGTTCACTTTAAAGATGAATTAGAAATTAAAAAAATAATTATTATTATTATAAAATGCACACCAAAATAAACATATATACACTGCTCGAAAACATTAAGGAACACTTTGAGAACACATCAGATCTAAATGGGGAAAAATATCAACTTGGATATCTATACGGATATGGACTGGGTAATGTGTTATGCAGGCCATAGATGGGTCGTTTATCGGCTGAATTTTCGTCCGCACGAAAAATCGGCCAATATTCACGCCGTTAGTGGGGCAATGCCGTCGGCCGTTTTTATCGTGGATCTTCTCGTTTCTTTTAATTGGAAAATCCACGAAAAACGGACGTTTTTCTTGGCCATTGGTGGCAGCATCGGCAACGACCGATTTTTTGTTTATCGGCCGACAATTCGGCCGATAGACGGCCCGTCTATGGCCAGCCTTAGGAACGTAAGGATGCCCCATCGTTTGATGGAAATGAAAAGTATCAACCTACAGAGGACTGAATTCAAAGATACCCTGAAAATCTAAGTAAAAAAATGATGCAGCAGGCTAGTCCATTTTGATGAAATTTAATTGAAGCAACTCAAACTCGTACTCAGTAGTTTGTATGGCCCCCACGTGCTTGTATGCATGACTGACAAACTTTGGGGCATGCTCCTAATGAGGCAACAGATGTTGTCCTGGGGTATTTCCTCCCAGATCTGGACCAGGGCATCACTGAGCTCCTGGACAGTCTGAAATACAACCTGGCGGCGTCAGATGGAATGAAACAAGATATCCCAGAGGTGTTCTATAGGAATTAGGTGAGGCGAGTGTGGGGGCCATTCAATGATATCAATTTCTTCATCCTCCAGGAACTGCCTGCATACTGTCGTCACATGAGGCAGGGCATTGTTGTGCACCAGGAGGAACCCAGGATGCACTGCACCAGCACAGGGCCTGACAATGGGTCTTAGGATGCATCCCAACACCTAATGGCAGTCAGGGTGCCATTGTCTAGCCTGTAGAGGTCTGTGCGTCCCTCCAAGGATATTCCTCTTCAGACCATCACTGACCCACCACCAAAACGGTCATGCTGAACAATGTTACAGGCAGCATAACATTCTCCACGGCTTCTCCAAACCCTTTCACATCTGCCACATGTGCTCAGGGTGAACCTGCTCTCATCTGTGAAAAGCACAGGATGCCAGTTTTGGCAAATGCCAATCGAGCTCTATAGTGCCGGGCAGTGAGCACAGGGCTCACTAGAGGACATCGGGCCCGCAGGCCACCCTTATGAAGTCTGTTTCTGACTGTTTGGTCAGAGACATTCACATCAGTGGCCTGCTAGAGGTCATTTTGTAGGGCTCTGGCTGTGCTCATCCTGTTCTTCTTTGCACAGAGGAGCAGATACCGGTCTTGCTGATGGGCTAAGGACCTTCTACAGTCCCTGTCCAGCTCTCCTAGAGTATCTGCCTGTCTCTTGGAATCTCCTCCATGCTCGAGACTATGCTAGGAGACACAGCAAACCTTCTGGCAGTGGCACACATTGATGTGCTATCCTGGAGGAGTTGGACTGCCTGTGCAACCTCTGTAGTGTCCAAGTATCGCCTCATGCTACCAGCAGTGACACTGATGCTAGCCAAATGCTAGAAAAGATGAGTAGGGAAAAAAATGTCAGTGGTCTCCACCTATAAAACCATTCCTGTTTTGGGGGACATCTCATTTTTGCCCATCTAGTGCACCTGTTAATTTAATTAACACCAAAGCAGATGAAACTGATTAACAACCCCCTCTGCTACTGAACTGACCAGATCAATATCCCAGGAGTTTAGTTGACTCGATGCTATACTCTGATTAAAAAGTGTTCCTTTAATTTTTTTTTAGCAGTGTATATTATTTTTCCCAAATATTGACTCTGAAACTTACTTGCAATTTTGGCCTCTTTGAGAGGTATGGTTTGATGCAGTTATCACTGTGGCTTTCACAGGGCTTAGTGTAGACAATGCCATACATCACCCAGCAGGTATGAACAACATATACAATAAACACCCCAACCACCAGGGTGGTGAAGGAGCTCCTGTTTAGCATCGTAGATGGAATAGAAAGTAGAGGGTAAACAAGCCGGAATCCAAAACTAATCGAGCATGCATAGACCTGGAAAACAAATTAGTTCAGAGTTAGAACAGTTATAGGACAAATATTGCAATAGCCAAATTCTGAAACACACAGCAAACAAACATATAACTCTCAGTTGTACACCAATATTATTATATCTCAACTACATTCATAAGAAGGAGTAGATGCACTATAACATCCAAGATTAGTGTTTAAGTGTTTGCTGCTGTCACTCTCTTGGTGGATGAATTATTATTATTATACAGTATTTATAAAGCGCCAATAGTTCGCTCAGCGCTGTACATTACAAAGGGGGACAGAACATGTGACAGAACAATACCAATACAATGCAAAACATGAGGGGATTGAGGGCCCTGCTCCTTGGAGCTTACAATCTAGGAGGGAGGGGGTGGTGGCACAGGAAGAAATAGCTGTGGGGGATGGAGTGGTGGGAAGAGTGGAGGAGGTCGGCAAGTTAGCAGGGGGTGGGGTAGGCTTCCCTGAAGAGATGGGTTTTCAGGGTGCGCCTAAAGGAGAGGAGGAGTAGGTGATAATCTGATGGGTTGGGGCAGGGAGTTCCAGAGGATGGGTGACACCCTGGAGAAGTCCTGGAGGCGGGCATGGGAGGAGGAGACCAGGGAACTAGAGAGAAGGTCGTCTTGTGAGGAGCGGAGTCTGCGTGCTGGGTGGTACTTGGATATTAGGTCGGTGATGTAGTTCGGGGCAGTATGGTGGACGGCTTTGTACTTCAGTGTTAGGAATTTGAATTTGATCCGTTGCGCAATCGGAACCCAGTGGAGGGATTGGCAGAGGGGGGTGGCGGAAATGGAGCGGTTGGAAAGGTGAATGAGTCTGGCAGCCGTATTCAGGATGGACTGAAGCGGGGATAGCCAGCGGCGAGGCAGGCCAGTGAGGAGGGAGTTGCAGTAGTCGAGTCGTGATATGATGAGGGAGTGGATGAGCTGTTTAGTGGGTTCTGGGGTTAGGAACGTGCGGATTTTGGCGATGTTGCAGAGGAATGAATCAGCTCAAACTCAGGGGAATATGCAGCCCAAATGCCTAGTGTAGAATTCCAATGAGTGCAGTGTGACACAGTACCCACTGCGTTTCAATACACCCTTACAAGTCCAGTGAATTGGGACAATTGCCAAGTACTAAAACATCACCCATGTGAATATAGCCTCAATTCCATTTTTTCTAACTGATGTGTCTCTTTCTTTCTCTTTGTCACTATAAATAATGCAGCAGACCATCTTTGAATGGTCACACACGGTTCTCGTAGCTCCTTCTGCTCAATATCTAAGCAGAAAATATTTATTTGGGTGCCTGATTGTTAGTTCATGTTGCAGATGTCCTACCCTTCTGAACCCAGAAATAACTACCTTCTATGATTAGTCATATCCCATGTTAACTCAAATAAATTGTTAAAGAGAATGGTTGCATTGACTGAAGGTGCTTCTGATGTTTCTGGGCCAAAGAAATACATTTATTCCGCAGGAATACCATATCTAACCAGGTTGGAATTTATTTTGAGTGTAATATATACACACATCCTCACTAACATCACAAACTCAACTTTCCTTTGTTCTTGAACTGCACTCCGAGGACATATCTAAGACCTCCAAGGAGAGGAAAAACTGTAAACCTGTAAGGATAATGAAATGATGAGCTTTCACTGCTGTTTGTGTTTTTAAATATGTAGATTTAAAAAGCTGCACATATTTCGAGTAGAAGATGTCAGACATGTAAATTCACGGCATGGCATTCATCTCCTCCTGGCCAAGCTTCCTTTACCAAGCCTGTGTGCTTGTGATTGCACATGTGTTTTTCCTCTATAGCTGGATCTATAGATGAGCACGTTTTTCTTTTGATGCGATTTTAAACTTTAATATCTCTTTAACATGGCACCTCTAAGAGTGTCAGTGTTTAAAGTTTTTTTGGATAAATAAATAAAAAAAAAAAAAAAAAAAAAAAAAAAAAAAGAGGTTATACTTACCTGCTCTGTACAATGATGTTGCACAGAGCGGCCCACTACCTCCTCTTCTGGAGTCCCACGTTGATGTGGTCGGCTCCTCCTTTCTTGTACATGCCCCTCAGCAAGTCATGTGCTGAAGGAGCACCTGTATGTGCGCTCCCAAGCCTAGCTGTGTGCACCCATAGACACAAAACGCATCTCAGCCACGACCCCAGCTCCCTCCTCAAAGATCTGACTGAGAGCAGCAGGAGCCAATAGCTTCTGATGCTCTCAGAATTTCCTATGAGACCACGAAGAGACGGGAGAACAGCTGCCAGGGTGGATAAAAATCAATGATTTTTAAAAAAAAAATCCGATTTTTTTTTTATTTAAATCGGATTTTTTTTGAATAAAATGCTTTATGAGGAAAATATATTACCATCCAAAGGTTATTCCATCATGAAATAAAGATTTTTGTTTTTTAATTATGTAGAATAAGGCTGTATATGTTGAATTTTTTTGGTCCATGAATCCATTCACAATGTCATGCTCTTCCAGAGGTTTTTGTATGATTATTGGGCAGTTTCTCTGCCTACAAGATATTATCACAGATGATTGGTTTACTTTTGCAGTTCTCAAAACTGAATTTGACTCAGCGGAGATCACATGCCTCTTCTACACAGCAAAAATGTTTATAACATGAACAGAGTTAAGAAAAAGACCTTCATCCTAACTTCTACAAACCTATGAATACAGAATCAACCCCTTCAGTGCTAAGCTTCAAGAAGTTCAGTGAATAGAATAGAAACAATATTTTTCTGATTGTTTGGAGTGGAATAGATCTGCACAAGAAGAAAGTGAAACTAAGTGTGAGGAGGAAGGGGCTGACAGTCTAAGTTTCTTAAAATTTATATATTTTGTTTAGACAAATTAGTTAAACATGGATGTTTAAGCAAATAATATATGCTGGAATGTTATTGTTTCCGTTGAATAAATCTATTTAAATTGTTATTATTAAGGGAATGATTATTTTTCTCCTTCCTAAGTACAACAGAAAAGTTGTCCAAATATGAATGATTAACCTATTAAACTGGGGATAAAAAAACTAATATGAAAAGTTATTCTAAAAATCTTCATCTACTTGTATATTAAAGTTATACCAGCAAGAATTAGTCTTTATGTAGAAAACTAGGATTTACATCAAGCCTTACTGACTAGTGATTTAAATTGTGATTTAAATTGTGATTTAAATCCGTTTGATTTAAATCAAATCCACCCTGACAGCTGCAGCCAGGAACAGTGCTGGATTATTGTGAGAGGACTCAGGTAAGTGTTTAAGGACTGAGGGTGGAACAGTTAGTGGGAGTTTTTTGTCTTAATGCAATGAATGAACGGAGGAGCTGCTGAAGAAGCTACTCACTGAGATCACTGTGCTCCTGGACGGACTGATAGTTTTTGTGGCAGAAGTTCAGGGCTCACATCATTGTTTTCAGGAAGGAAGCAGCAACGAGTGGGAGGGTGGCTGGTACATGCATCATTAGAGGTATGTTATCAGGATCTAGCCATTGCCCCAATATTGCTCTTGCCTAGGGCTTAGCTTTAAAATCAATAATTATTGTAATATTTGTGTTTTCTTATGGCACATGGTGATTATTAGGGATGCATTGAAATTTCGGCCACTGAAACATATCAGACGAAAACAGCACTATCGGCATTTTGCAGATAGTAAAAATTTAGCTGATACAGGTGCCGATACAGGGGACTGTGTGTACTGCAGATGTGAGGGGGGTAAGCGGCAGTGAAAGACAGGAGAGAAGCAGTGTATACAGTGACAGGCTGTCGTCATATGTCAGTGCTGGTTTTTAAATGTAATTACCGCCTTTTTTCCCCTTCACTATAGCTCAGAGAATGAGCTATCACTTTCCCCGAGCTAAAGAAACATAGTTACTTAGTTAGTCTGGCTGAAAAAAAGACAAACGTCCATCCAGTTCAACCATTTAAAAAAAAAAAAAAAGTTATAATCCTATACCCACAGTTGATCCAGAGGAAGGCGAAAAAACCCAGCAAAGCATGATCCAATTTGCTCCTGCAGGGTAAAAAATTCCTTCCTGATCCCCCGAGAGGCAATTGGATATTACCCTGGATCAACTTTACCTATAAATGTTAGTATCACCAGTTATATTCTGTGTATCCAAGAAATAATCCAGGCCTTTTTTAAAGCAATCCACTGAGCTGGCCAGAACCTTGAGGAGTCATTCCACATTTTCACAGCTCTCACTGTGAAGAAACCTTTCCGTGTTTGGAGATTAAATTTCTTTTCCTCCAGACGTAAAGAGTGCCCCCTTGTCCTCTGTGATGACCTCAGGGTGAATAACTCTACACCGAGTTCACTATATGAACCACTGATGTATTTATACATGTTGATCATATCTCCCGTAATCTCCTCTTCTCAAGAGAGAATAAATTCAGTTCCTCTAATCTTTCCTCATAGCTGAGCTCCTCCATGCCTCTTATCAGTTTGGTTGACCTTCTCTGTACTTTCTCCAGTTCCCCAATCTTCTTTTTGTGAATTGGTGCCCTAAACTGAACTGCATATTCCAGATGAGGTCTTACTAATGATTTGTACCAGGGTAACATGATATCTCTCTCTCTGGAGTCTATACTTCTTTTAATACAAGAGAGGATTTTGCTCGCTTTAGAAACCGCAGCTTGGCATTGCATGACATTATTAAGCTTGTGATCTACCAGAACTCCCAGATCCTTCTCCACCATTGATTCCCCAGTTGTACTCCCCCTAGTATGTATGATGCATGCATATTCTTAGCCCCCAAGTGCATAACCTTACATTTATCAACGTTAAACCTCATTTGTCACATAGTTGCCCAATTAAACAGTGCATTGATGTTGGCTTGTAAATTGGAGACATCCTGTAAGGACTGTTATTCCACTGCACAGCTTGGTGTCATCTGCAAACACTGAAATGGGATTTCCAATCTCAGACCCTATATCATTTATAAAT